ATTAATACACCTTCCAAGTCCCAATTACCCTGATGGGTATCCGATTCCAAAAGAATAAATGTCACTACTTCTAACTGCCAAATCCAAATATGGCTGTAGCCATATTAAATATCAAATTTAAACAACATGTGTACAGTTCAGAAGCAAACATAAAAACTTCAATATAAGTACAAAATATAGAAATATTAACAATATACAATGATAAAATCTCAAAACGGAATCAAATAGAGTACCAAAACGTCAACAGATAGAGTCGGTTATATCACAACACAAATATATATACATGGAGGGATTTTCCAAAAAACAAAACATTCAAAATCGATTCTACACTATCAATACTATTATCATTAGTAGCCGCATCTGTACTAGTAGCAGTCATCTTCCCATGACATCCATTCGACTCATGCACAGTGTCCAACTCTACTCGATCAACACTGCTTTCCTTACTAGGAATGCTCTTAACCTCATCTGTCTTTTCACTGTTGGTAGTGCTCATCCCGAAGCTTGTAGTACAAGTCAATGATGGTGGAGTGCGACAGGTGGACGATTCCGTGCTCGATTCCTCATGCTGCATATTCAACACAACAGCATGTCCATGAAAGCTAGATGACTCCTCATCGCACCCAGGGCACTCAACGTTAGCCCTCTCATTAGTGCCATTGTGGTGTGTGCTACTTTTACGAACGATATAATTAGTATAAGAAGGGACGTGAAAGAATTAGTCGTACGGTCAGAAGAGGAAAACGGGAAGCAAATGGAGCAAAAGCAAGAACTGAATGGAGTACCAACAGGAAGGAAAGCAAGCAACAACAGGAAAGGAAGAAGGATGAATTGGTGAAAGTCATTGCTGAAAGATGGTGCGCAAATAGAGTATTCAATGTGATGTTTTCGTTTTTAACTAACTCAGAGTGTAAATTTGCATAATACACTCCTCCTCGCCTGCCTCAGTCTTCTCAATCGGTGTCGCTGCCTCTACACAGGATGAAGATCCCACGGCCTCGGCAGTTTGAAGACGGAGGGCTAAGGAGCTTCTTGAAGGAGTTCGAAGCCGTGGCGGAGCTGGTAGGAGTCAAGGAGCAGAGGCCGAGAGCGGTGTGGTTTTGAGGACTGTACTAAGAGGCAGGGCGGGAGCGGTGTACGATGGTGCGGAGGGTGCTTGTTTGGAGGTGGTGACGGAAAAGCTGCTGGTGGAGTTCGACAGCCCAGCGGATAGGCAGGACGCGCTGCAGAAGTTCCGAGAGGCGAGACTGACGGTGGATGGCGACCCACTCGTGCTCGCTGTGGATTTGACAAGATTGCTGCGCCGGGGTCTGCCGAAGTTGGATGAGGAGTCACAAGCACAGCTGCCAGTGTCGCAATTCATTGAGAGTTTGCCTGCAGAGGTTGCCCAACAGTTGAGACCGGTGAACGCCGCACAACCAATGGACGTCAACGAGCTGGCAAAAGTAACGAGACAGCTGATGAACCCAACAGTCTCCTCGTTGGCGTGTGAGAGACAGGCGGATGATGTCGGGAAGAAGATAGAAGAGTTACAACGCGAGGTGGCAGCGTTACGAATAAAGGGTGGAAGAAATAATAAATGCTATATTTGCGGAGGAACCAGGCATTGGAAGAGTAATTGCCCAACAAGACGAAAACGTAAACATTTTAGACCATATGCATGGTGTTCTTCATGTCCTGTGAAACTGGGGGTCGCGGCAGTTGTAGATAAGGGGGCGGTCTATGCGAGATTAGGGATAAACGAGCGAGAGGTAGTGTGCCTGATTGATACATGGGCGGCAGTTTCGGTAATAGACAAAGAGCGGTGTAGAAGTATCCGGCCGAGTGCATTAGTTGTTAACACCATCGGAGGCCACGTGTTAAAAATCCTAGGAGTCTCAAATGATATCGTGAAAATCGGAAATTCGGAAATACAGTTTCCCTTTGTGGTAACGACGAACTTGTCGAGACCAATACTAGGAGCAGATTTCTTGAGAGAAGTAGGAGCAATTATTGATTCAAGAAGCAAGAAGGTGATTACAAAGTACGGCGCACTGACGATACATGAAAGCAGCGAGGTGGCTGAAGTTAGAGTAGCAAAAGAGGACAATGAAAACTAACAGAACATTAACAAGGTGCTCACGAAATATACGAAGTTGTTCACGGGAGTCGGAGAACCCTGCGGATTTTGTAATAAAGTTAAACATGAAATTCCGATGAAGAACGAAGAAGTGACTGTCTTCACAACACGATGGGTCCCCGTACATTTGGAAGCTGAGATAAACCAGCAGGTACAGGAGATGTTAAAGGCAGGTATAATTGAAGAAGCAGATAGCCAGTACAGCTTGCCGGTACTTTTGGTAAAGAACCAAATGGAAAGTATAGATTCTGTGTTGACTTTAGAGAACTGAATAACGTGAAAGAACTAAAACCATGTGCAATGCCAACAACAGCGCGGACATTAGATCGTCTACAGAGACCTACGGTGTTCACAGTGTTGGATTTATGGTCGGGCTATTGGCAACTACCAATAAAAGACAGTGATAACAGCAAAAAGGCATTTACCGTATGGGAGAAGCAGCATCAATTTAATGGGAATGCCCCTTTACGCTTCGAAGACTAATGACATTGCTTCTCAGAAACCCGGAGAATGTCGAGGTGTATGGCGATGATTTGGTCGTATATAGTCGTACAGAGGCAGAACATGTGAGACACGTGGAGGCTGTCCTAAGGCGAATTGATGAGTTTGGTTTACGAATTACCAAAGACAAGTCTCAGATAGCGAAAAGAAGCGTCATGTTGCTGGGGCATAAAGTAGGCAATGGAGAAAAGAACCACTGCCTCAGAAGATTCTAACAATAAGGAATATTGCAGTTCCCAACTCAAAGAAGAAGTTAATACAGTTCCTGGGAAGAGCGGCGTTCTACAGCAGATTCGTGAATTACTTCAACGATATAGCAGCTTACTTACTTACTTACGCCTGTTACCCCCATTGTAGCATGGGCCGTCCACCAGTTTTCTCCGACCAACTCTGTCCTGGACTTCCCTCTCCAGTTCTGTCCAATGTTTGTTCATTCCTCTCATATCTTTCTCTGTTTCACGGCGTAATGTGTCTTGTCTCGTGACGCAGTTAGGTGCTTTTCGTAGTGTGTGTCCTATCCACTTCCACCGCTTCTTCCTGATTTCCTACTCCAATGGAATCTGGTTTGTTCTCTCCAACAGTTCGTTGTTGCTGATGGTGTCTGGCAAACCAATACGAAGTATTTGGCGTAGACAAATGTTCATAAATACTTGTATCTTCTGGATGATGGCTTTGGTAGTTCTCCAAGTTTCCGCTCCATACAGTAGAACTGTCTTCACATTTGTATTGAAAATCCTGATTTTGGTGTTGATTGATATTTGTTTGGAGTTCTAGATATTTTTCAATAGTAAAAATGCAGCCCTTGCTTTGCCAATCCGCGCCCTCAGATCTGCATCGGATCCGCCTTGGTTGTTGATGATGCTGCCCAGATATGTAAAGGTGTTAACGTCCTCCAAGGCATCTCCATCAAGAGTGATTTGGTTGGTGCATGTTGTTACGGGAGGAATGAAGACATTTTGCTGATCAAAACCTTTATATATAAAGATCATTAATTTCACTGTGTTTTTTGGGTACATTTGTTTTACTTAACTTATGAACTTGTTTGAATTATTATTTTCGGCCATTTTGGACTCCTGTTTCTCTAGGTTGTTCGTTTGCAGTTTTTTCTCAAGAAATCTATAAAATAGAAGGTAATTGTAATTATTATAATAATTGTTGTTAGAATGACATTGGTCGTCTATTTGTAATAAACCAAAGATATTTTGGTCGATTATTTGTGAATTGACAATAAACTTTCGTATCTACTTTGGAGTTTCCTTTTGGTTTAATCTTTGGGATCGTGAATAGCAAATAGATCGACAAACTGTGCTTCTAAGGATCAAGGAGAAAAAAATTGGACGTAACACATGTTGTCTTGTATCGTAGAATCTTAGTTTTCCCTTTATGTATATTGAGACATACTGCTGCTGAGGGTACTGCCACACTGGTTGTCTTCTTTTGCATTTGTGAAAGTGAGCAACCTTGCCTTACACCGGTCTTCACCTCTAACGTGTATGTTAGCTGTCCTCCGTGTACGATTTTGCAGTTGAATCCATCATAAGAATTCCGTATGATGTTAACTATTTTCTCAGGCACACCGTATTGTCGAAGAAGCCTCTACAGTGTTTTCCTGTCCACACTGTCGAACGCTTTCTCGCATTCGATGAAGTTGATGTAGAGTGGCGAGTTCCATTCGATTCATTGTTCCACAATGATCTGTCATGTTGCAATTTGGTCAGTACACGATCGATCCTTACGAAATCCAGCCTGGTGATCTTGAAGTTCGGCGTCTACGAAGTCCTTCATTCTGTTTAACAATACCCTGTTGAAGAACTTGTCTTGTATTGAAAGAAGAGTGATACCTGTGTAGTTCTCACACTTGTTGAGATCGCCTTTTTTTGGTATTTTGATGAGGTATCTTTCTTTCCAGTCTAATGGTACTTATCTGCCAGCGCAGAGTTAAGATGGTTTGAATTATTTCTTCTGGTTAGGGTTTTTCGGAAAGTTAGTATCTGACAAAGTGGGGTCGCGAACCCCATATTCAACCCTCCTTTATCCGGGCTTGAGACCAGCAGTATCCCCGAAGGGTCTACTGACAGAGTTACTGTTTTCCCTACGATTTTAATAAACATGCTCGATATTTTCCGTCCATCAACTTATGTCATAATGCGGCACCCTAAGTGTGCGACCGAAGCATTACTTCAGCAGTCACCTCTCGTTGTTTTCCTGAAACAATGCATTTCAAAAACGGCATCGATAAGATGTAGGCTATTAGATCTGATATACTTGAAATTGCTAATATGTTTGCATTAGTGAAAGTTGCCTCTGATTTGTATTATAAACTCCTTTGTTATAGCGAATTGCATTAGAAAAAATTCACATTTTCTTGGAATTTGAAGTCGTTTTAAAAAGCAAATATTCGAAAACGAGACGCTCATATCTAAGCTGCATAATTTGAAATAGCTGTGACCTTCGGCTAAGGTCAATTACTCTCGAAATTCACTTGGTACTTCTCTTAATATTTTTGCTTAGAACCGAAGGTTAGTAGCTTGTGACAGTCGTTATCGAGTTAGCTCCTGCGAATTTTTCGGTTTTTTGATAAAAGGTTTTTGGATTCCTGAAAGAGTCGTGGTTGTATTAGTCCAAAGTTTCTTCAAATTATCTAACCGAATTGCCTCGATGGAGTTTTTCACAATTTAGTTCAATTTTTAGGTTCGGTTTTCTGTGCGGTTTTGTACGCTGTAATAAAGAACATTCCATCCAACCGAAAATTTTTCTTCACATCTAGCTGGACCTAATTCACTTATTTAAAATTTTGCTGTCATGAAAGTGGCCTTAAAATGCAGAAGTACCGTAAATTTCAGGATCTTGTGAGGTTAGACGCAAAGCATTAAGGCTTCCTTGATGCATTTGTCTATAAATGCCTTTCGGTTTCGATGCAATCAAACTTGGACACATTGATGGAAACTAACTAGAAGTTATAGGCTGTTTTAGAGTTCGGTTCCGTTATCGTACCTCGTTTCTTTACATATAATAATGTCATCAGCTTAACGTAGCATTAGAAACTATAAGATAAGCGGGAGTCTAATCACATTAGGTTTGTTAAACGAACGACTATGAATACGGCCCTACCGTACTGAAAAAAGTTCCCTGTGGAAAACATACCACGTTCATTTCTATCTTCTGTTAACACCGTGCCTGATATGCTAACTCCTGACATTTTTAAGAATGATTTTCCCATTTTAACAGCTAGACTGACTGGGATCTCAGATAGAATCTGGCGACTGGACGTATTCTCATCCGACTGGTCTCTATCATTGATTGTCCCAATTTATAAGAAAGGACAAAAGTCCTCCTGTGACAATCACAGAGGGGTCAGTTTAACTTGCATAGTGTCGAAAACATTGGTTTCAATAGTAAATACCACGGCGCGAAGAGCAGACTAGAGAAAACCAGTCTGGTTTCAGACTTGGATTTGGCTGTATAGATCACATATTCACACTTTGTTAGGTGTTAGAACATAAAAGCATGTTCTGACGTCCTACAACAGTGGAATTTTGCCACCTTAAAGCGGCATTTGACTCTGTTGATTGTGAGGTTCTACGACAGTGTATGTCACTGAAAGGAGTACCGAAGAATTACAATAACCTTATAGAAGCTCCCTACTCGAACACCACTTGTCGAGTGAGAGCTTATGGTGAACTGTCATCGGAACTGATCACTTCAGGTGGTGTTCGTCAGAGATGCGATTCTCCCTCTTCAAATGCAAAGTGTTGCTTCAGGGTAGTCTCGCATCGGCACTTGAACTAGTGTTAGGGAGTGAATCGGCTGAGCATGTTGACCGCTTCACGCTGGGTCTCATCAGTGATGACTTGGTGTCTGTCGAAATCTCAGCACGGATACAGAAGGCTCGATTGGCTTTTGCCAACTTGCGTCACTAGTGGCGTAGACGCGATGTCTGTTTGCGGACCACAGGATGAGTTTACTGTACGGCAGTTCGTCCCGTCCTACATTATGGCTGTGAAAACTTGGCCGGTAAGAGATGAGTATGTTCATAGGTTACTGGTTTCCGATCATCGGTATCTTCGAAGTGTTTCGTGGAACAACCCAGTATGCAGTTTAATAGTTAGGGATCGAGTACTAGGTAAGGATGGCAAATCAATTGATGAAGTATTGAAACTTCTTCAGTTAAGCTGTCTAGGAAATGTGATACGTATGCCCAACCACCGACTGCCTAGACGAGCTATGTTTTGCGTCCAATGTTTGTGGTTTTGCAAATTCTAATCTTCAATATTCCCTCTTGATCTTTATTTTTGTCTCAAATGTTTCTCACTGCTTTATACTTTCTGAATAATATCTTTAAACAGTGATGTTTCTGAAGACTGTTCAAATATGTATTACACCTACCACCACTGGATTTGAATCGACGATTGTATCTGTGTTCTAATATGGTATGTCAACTTGAACTGATGTACGTACATACGTACGGAGTTCTACCTCGTAACTGACTGACTCCCTCTGCTAATGTATTATCGCAAATTGAAGTGATTTACGTAAGTACCAAGTTTCACTATGTCGCTTGCTGACTGACTCCTTATATGTTTATTTTTGTGTACTATTCTTATCCATTTTAATAAAAACCTGGGAACCTAAATTTTCTTATGCATAGATATTCTCATTATTATAGCATCTAATATTTAATTTTTTGTAGGGTTAATCAATTCGTTTGTCTAATTAGCAATTATAGAACTAATTCCTGTGTCACTCGTAGCTGCTCTGTTACTTTAAAATTCCGGATTCATGGGAGATTCAAATATATTTCTAGTAGTTAATACTTGTTACACGTATGGACTATCGAATACGTTTTCTTTACGAAGGCCATCTGTATATCTCCATTTTATCATTTTTGCGCAAGTTCTGGCCGTAGTTTGTTCTTCAATTACAACAGTTGCAAACGATGTTCATTTTAGTTCGCCAGACGGTAAGACCTTTTTCTTACTACTTTGAAAATTACTATTAATGAATCCATCATTTTAGTTTGGTTTGTATTCGAACTGTTTTACTTTAAATATTTTTGATGAAAATAATGTTTTCCGTCCATATTGCGATTTAGCCACCATAAAACTCAACTTGTCAACATGATTGTGAGACTTTAAAACCCTACCAAACCTTGGTCAAAAAAACAATCCGGTTCATATTTAAAATTCGCTCTTGAATAAAAGTCAGGATTTTTGAAAATATTATTGTTGCTTGATACACTATTGGACTTCGTAATCCAAAAAAGTAGTCAAACTAGGCATTGTAAAATGATTTAAAATCTTATTTTTCAGTATCCATAAGTTGGATTATTGGAAAAAATATTACCAGTAAACCCTTCACATCTGCAAACTTAAGTCACAAAGGAAAATATGAATTTCTGGGTTTTTCAGTCACCTAGGTACCGACTAGTAAAGTATATCATCTTTTTGTTAAGGTATTCATAGCAAACTCACGTCACTTGAATAGACAATAGAGATACAGGTCTATTGAACAGTCGTTTCGTTCACTGGTCTTCCAAAGGACTCCTGTTCATGATGAAAGTTGTCCCCAAAACATACAATATTAAACAGGTTTGTGTTCAAAGCAAAGAGGCCGTTGAAATAATTAGTTAAACTGTATGTTTTCCATACTGTCGTTGAAATTATTTAACAGATCACAGTTGTTCCAGCGTGAATTACTTGAACTTCCTGTTGGGTCTTGATTGTGTACTGATGTCGTATAGAGTCAATCATGATGCAGATCGTTGGAATAAGAGGGCATTAAGTTGTGTTTCAATATGATAGCTAAAATATTATTGACCGTGGAATTCAGCAGACGAATGTCTAATACTATGTAATATATAACTTGGATTTTAATTTTGTCGAAATACCAACTTGGTTTCAATTGAAATTTTAAAATCACGAATTATTTCAAGAGTATCATGTTTAGTAACTTCATATTTGATTTTAAAATATCGAAGATTCTCATTATTGAAATTAAAACAACGTATAATTGAACAATTAGATCATCATCAGACTTTAATTTACGCAAATGTTTATTTTTATATCAATATTGATGTATCTTATGGTAAAATTTGATGATGATTTAATAGGAAACAATGTTGTTCGCTTATATGTGTTGTTCTAACTACCTGGTCATTATTTACCTAAACTTTAAACTAGTTTTTGAATATTTTTGAAACACTGTAAATAATGCCATACATCAATAACAGCTGGTTTTTTTCTAAAAAATAAACCCATTTGTATGTATTAAACTTAGCTATCTGCACCATCGCAACGTACTTTAAATACAAATATTAATTTTCGTAAATTAAACAAAAATGGCGTTTTCAGTCAAACGGTCACTAATGAATTTATATTAGCTTTTCTTTGTTTTAATACCATCCAATTTCTTTTCAAATTAACTCTTAGTATTTTACCCAGTCCTTGGTGCATTTCGAATAAGTATTTCCTTTAAGTATAACATTGCGCTACCTTGCGTTACAGCCAGTGACATTTTTGTGAGATGGTTCGAGTGATTTGCTGTGAATGCCAGAAAATGCTTTTTTCTGAATACCGTATGGTAAGAACCTGTTGTATCCCCAATCACCAACCGTTATCACATGACAAATACAAAACACCAAACAGAATTATGTTAGCGCCAAAAACGAGAGTCAGCTCTGAATTCTAATTGACAAGCAACTTGATAGCTTCTTTCAATCCTGCTTTTTAGTCCAGGAATTAGAAAACAGCCTCCGTAAAGTCCTCGTTATATACTTTATATACCAAAGGAACCAGACCACATCACACCGTAAAGTGAGGAAAACACATTCATACACGAGCAAGCCAAAAGCGGCTGTGATTAGGGAAGACTAAATCATAAACTGGGAATAGATCATGAATAATAAATCACACAACCGTAGTTAGTAGACTAATCGGAAGACAATATATATATATATAATCTGTTTACAGCAGGAATATAATAATGTTATAATATAATAATAATAATCCATAAGTTACTCCTGGAAGTTTTCTCGAATCCTCGTCTGGACACAGCAATGTTACCATGTCGAAATTACGTGACACGTTTCGTTATTTCATACTAGAGTGTATCATCTTCAGTACAACACTAGAGTGTTTATTTAAAATAACATATATGAGCGAGCAATATTTTTTTCGATCATTAAACCAATCAAGGTAATTTGAGTCAGTTATGACAATGGAATAAATAGTACAAATTGATAGTGTGATAACAGGTGCAATCAAAGTGTGTCGAACAACTTTGAGAACTAGACACTGGAATAACATTCGTTAGATTTATAGATTACGTAATAAAGTATTCAAATAATTGGCTAGTGAGGTGTATATATGAAAAAATTAGGTTAAGAAAATTAAAAGTACAGACAAGGAGTTTGAACCATAATGGTCGTGAATTAATAAATAAAATCAGCTAAAGAAGAGATTGAGGTGTCGCAAATATCATACGAACACAAGGACTTTGTTTTTTTACTCCAAACTTTAATTACTTCTGCGTAACAGACATTATCGAATCCCATAAGGAAAACTAGGGGGTAAACAATAAATTACTATGAATGATTTATTTCTTCCTACAATATAGTTGCTATCGATTAAGGGTAATGGAACTGAGCCGCAAATAACTTTGATTATGCCCTTTCCTAACCACGGAGGGTGTTAGCTAAATCGCTGGTTGATTTGTCTAGTTGTACACCCAACATAGCTTGCTTCACAGGACGAGCTGAATTCATAGATACACATTGATGTGGCAAAACTAGGTAGCGTATCCTTTAGTTGAGAAATCACCATAGGTCGGCTAGAAAAAGACATGCTGGCTGCGTTAAATGTGGTTTCCAGTTCTTTTTCTTCGACATCGATTATCATATTTGTTATGCCTTTTCTGAACCTTCCTGTATATTAAGTAACGATAGCCACTATCATTTGTTTAGTTGGGATTTATATATCTTTTGCAACAATTATTGCTATTAATATTTATTATTTATTATTATTATTATTATTATTATTATTATTATTATTATTATTATTATTATTATTATTAGTATTGGACTGACTGATATTTTTAAAGGAATGGAATTTCATTGTAGGATTTAATTTGTCCTACAGATGTACTTCTAGAACTGTAAACGCAATATTGGCGAGCGCAGAGTCTATGGGAAAGCTATATTTAGAACAAGACCAATTTTGCTTTAAACTTTGTGTTTCTAAACGTAAAAACAATTAGACTAGTACAATAAATAAGGAAATTACATTTACCAAGCGAAATGATCGACATACCGACCAATAAAGCGTGTCTTATGGAAATGAATAAAACTATGAGTCACATCAATACAATAAGATAATGTATTTCAATCGGTAGGTCATTTACAACAAAGAAAGTTTGCAGACACGTCAGATCAGATCACGTGATGGGCGCTTAAACCACAATTTGATTGGTTAGTTATGACATAACTACAATTAGTTATGGAAATAACTAACAGCCATTGTAATTTTTCTGTTTTGCTTTCATTATTTTAATTGCTTGAGTCTAAATCAAATCGACTTTTTATTAAGGCGTGGTTTGAAGTCTTAATTTTATTTTTAAACAGATTCCATCATAAATACTAGATAAAAAAGAATCAAGAAATATAGAAGCACTGTGTATTTGTTTCATCCGTTTGCTGACTGGCACTATTATGAGTTTTGAATGGTTAACATCAGTTGAATAGCAAACCTCAGTTTCTGTTATTTTTGTATTGATGTGCGAGTGTTTCAGCAATAAAATTTTTCGTAATATTATTTCGACTTTATTAAGTAGAAATTCAGTATAATAAAAGACATTTGTTTTGTTGTTAAGTAGTAATGATATATACATAGTGACAGTTAAGTGATCCAAATATTGACTTGATTACTAGATTCCATGTTCGAAGTATACATGCCCCATACCTGAGTTCTTAAAAAATGCGAATAAACACATTCAATATAGTATGTTACATCTTTAATCATGTTCATTGGTTTTTTGTCACTTTCTATCTAGACCTTTCTGAAGCAATTGATGATCAAAATTTGTCCACAAACAATTTTAAATACGAAGAGGTAATTCTAATAATTTAACTGTTATTTGAACTATTTGGTTTTTTCGTCCTTTTTCTTGTCTACCTTAACAAATAAGATAAATAAATGAATCAAATAAAATTAAATCTTAGTAGCATTTCTACTAAAGTAAACTGTTATTTGTTGGTATGGGGTTGTGTCATTTGTTAAATTTCACCGAAATCATGAAATGATCTATTTTGAACCACCATTAAAAATCTGTCCAGTTGTTTTGTCCTATTCCGGGACTCGTTAGTACTGTAGAGAAAAAATATCCTGAGTTTTATTGATAAGCCGTGAGCACTGGGTCCAAACTGTGTCGGATTTGAGACAGTTACTCATCGAAGTTAGTGAAAGGCAGTTGAAAAGTGTCGTGGATTGATTGAAGTTAGACATTAACACCGTTGGATTCTGGCTCACTGGTTCGGAGTTTAAGTGTTCACGAATGAGACCGAACGCCTAGTGTTCGATTTTCGCTTGAGGAGTTGTGGAGATGCACTTTACTAGAATGAAACGACCATTCAGTGCTTCCAGGTTTTCAATCGTAGTATAACTCAGATCATTTCTTCTTGGACAATAAAAGCCACAAAAAGAAGACAGCTTGGAATCCTGCTTAATGATGAGAAAGTCAATATATTTCAGGAACAACTAGAGAAGCGGTTAGTTTATGATGAAAGTGGTATTCACTCTGGAGTAGCTCGTTCATAGAAACAGCAGTGATATCCATTGGTAAGACACAGCAGCAATTAGTAACAGTAGTTAGCTATTCAAACTTATGAAATAAACCAGCATTAGAAATCCGGATGTTAGTGAGACTATCTCGAAAAGAGATGGAACTATTATTCACTCTCACTCCGGCATATTAGACCTATGGGCAGAACACTTTAGGAAACAGTTCACCTAGCCTTCAGCTACTCTTCAATTACCGACTTTCTCCTGGAAACTCAATAGTTAATGGACTTGAGTCTTCTAACTTTAATTATGACCGAAATTTAACTCTAACTAACTCAAAGAAGAGCAGCAGGTTCAGATAACACTAATCTCAGAAAATTTGAAGGAGAGTTATCTAATTGTAGCAGTTAAATTGACTGAGATCTTCCTGATAAAGATGTTCTTGAGACAGATCACGAACAGTCATTTAGAACCTATCAAAAAATTAAAAGCGCTACTTACATAAATCATGGGTTCCGAACGACCAAACTGAGGGTTTTCGATTGCCGTTTGTTATACTCTAGACTCAATGCAAATCCTGTGGATGTATAAATCCTTTATTCATACCAAGAGAAATAAACTAATTTTTATATTTGCATTTTATGATTACTTTCCCAAGATCTGGCATTTAATAAACCAGTTTGATTTCAGATCTGTTGAGGACAATGTAACTTATGAAATGTGAAGTTTATACCGATATTTAATAAGTTTTATTCACGATCCTTTCGGCATTCAGATCCATTCGTTTAGTAACCTACTGAAAAAGCAATATTTTTGACATTTCAGTCATCACCGGATGACATCGTCCTTGAAGATACATGGAGGTATAAACCGTTTCCCGGTGTACAAATACCAGTTGCTCGTTCCCCCCACCCAACATTTGGATCACCATGGCCATTACCACATAGTTGGTTATCATCTTCATGTTATTATAATGTGGATATAAAAAAATTTCACTTTAAATTCATTAAAACCTCAAATAAGATTCTACAAGTAAGCTATTTTGTTTGCAATAATATTTTCTTCATTATTTGTTTATACTCCATTTATTTATCTGATAAACATTAGAGTTAATATAATTAGTCATTTCAGGGTTCACTGTTTTTTTGAAAAATGCTAATCCTGGGTATCAGATCCTACTACTGACCATTTACTCGATTTTCCACTGGATATCATTGAATCGGATTATAACGAAACTATTTGGTATCATTTATAGACAAATGAACGAAAATAGTATTTAATAAGAGCTACATCTCTGTTGAAAATACAGCCAAAAATTTTCATTTAAGGAATGATTATCGTACTTTTATAGAGAGTGTAAGAGAAAGCCACAACAACATCTCAACTGGCTTCTATTCTGTAGTTGATATTGATATAAACATCAAATGATGACGATACATGATATTTCATAAACCCATAATATACTAAATATCATTTTATATTGTCTACAGGTTTTGCTACTATTGAATAATGAATGCACATCAGTTCATTTATCTTTTTTCTTTTTATAGTCAGCTGTAAATCGATACACGCATATAATACAAAATTTATTTGGTATTTCTGTGTACCCAAAAGTTTGGCAACATAAAAATTTTCAGTCGAGATGTGAGAAACCTGTTACGGGAAGTCAGGGTATTCCCTTCCGCACTGTTTTAAGAACGTCAAACGGTGTATCTCATAATTTTATATCTCAACAAATATCTTACTTAATGCACAAGTATGGATTACCTGGACACAGTGTATTGCATAGCGGAATTCAAAAATATGCTTTGTTATATGTGATAAATTCTGATTCACAATTGCCACATATTAATATGGATGAATCTTGTGAGTTATCTACAGGGACAAGCGTAATTTTTCGTAAACTTAAAAAAACATTATCATTATTTATCAAAATGTCATAATGTATTGTTCATACTAAAACTACCGAGAATTAAAAATATTCTGTAGTTGAGGTTGATCAGCTATACCCGCTAGCTATGCAATTGCGATTGACCCCTAGTGTTCATAAAGCTAGTACATTAACCTATTATGGCCGTTAAAAATGCAACCTTTGCTACTTGTCTGCAGTTATTTCTAATTAAAAACTATTAAAATTTCGTCTAACGCAAACAGAATCTAGTGAGAATTGATACACAATACTTCAACAATTACTCTTAATCCAAGAAAAGACCGAAAGAAGTCAGAAGTTCAGGAGAACATAAATTTGAAGTAGAATAACTTTCTCCCATTTTATTATATATAAACGTTAGAAAGTATAATAAAAGTGAATCGACTAAATTTCGAAACCAACCATATAACAGTAAAAGTCATCAAGATAATATGTATTAGGAAAGTGCTATCACTGTTATTCTTTCTCATGAAAACTATCTTTCATAAAAAAAGATGAGATAAAACTGTTTCTTCTAGAATACACTCAGTAATCATTTTGTGGATAAACCTTTTATTCAGAAGTCCGTGAACAATATTTGGAAGAAAACTTTATTGTTCCACTTATGAAGTGATGAAGTAAAACCAGAGAAATCTCTACTATTAAATTCTTATCGTAAATACCTTGGCTTCTTTTCTATGGGCGACAAAAACTATTGATCCCATCGTACGTTAATGGTACTGTGTTCTCTTTCTATTCTCACTAATTAAAACGTTTATTTGTTATTACGTAATCCCGTCTATTTCGGACTAGTTACTGCTCCTTCCTCTTTTCATATTTTCTTCAACTGATTTGATTTTTATTTTTAATAGTTATCGTTCACTCTAAATTATTGTTTAAATCCCCTAAGTAATGTAAATTATTTATCTGTTTAAAATGGTTGCCGTTGTCTTATTGTTCCAGATATTCTGGGCGTTTCAGAAAATGGCATTTTCATTATCGCTAATGAAACATGGGGCGCTTTGAGAGGTTTAGAAACACTTAGTCAGTTAATGTGGACTACAAAAGATCAATCTCAAGTGAGTATCGTCGGTGAACTATTACTCTTCTTTTTGCAGTTATCAATCACTAATTTTCATCTGTGGAGTTTATTTTGTTCCGATTCGTTTAAACGAATAACAGTAGGGGAGAGTGTCAACTAATTATCTTTTCCCAATTCATGGGCATTTATCTTAAACATTCGTCCTCTGGTTACTCATACCTTACATTGAATTGATTGCTTTCCAGTTTTCTGGTCGTTTTTACTGTTCGGAAGTACACAGATATGGTTTCCCAGTTGGAATCGGTTTATGTTTAACCCCGGTTTTAAATTATTCAGATCTGCAGAAACTACCTGAAAAGTACAAACTTTTTAAGAATGTTTAAACTAAGCTTTAAAATAGATATCTATTTTCAGACCACTTGGTTATTTGTTAAAAATGACCAGCTCTCTAGTTACTGATAGTACACTGAATAGATTTGTGTACGTAACTCATACGACTATAGTTGCAACTATCGGAAGTGAATAAACAATAGAATTCCATTAAGGTCAATTTATAACATATTTTTTAAAAATTAATCTAATAAATTTACTCCTACTTATTACACCTGCAATTACTAATAGTAAATAAAAAATAGAATCCCATTAAGGTCAATTTGTAACATATTTTTTAAAAATTAATCATTAAAATTTACTCTTATACTTACTTATACTTACGTCTGAACATGAACACCAAATGTGTTGTTAGTTAAAAAAACGTACTTTTTCTTATTACCTAAACTGTCACGAACTTGAATAAGATTGTTGTAAAAAAAAATTTGCTAAAGATAGGTGTAATTAAAAACCCAATTCAGAGAAGCATTCCAGGTAAGGTCACATCATATACTCAGCTCTTTTTATTTTATTAAACTAAAAGTGTGGTTGAACAGCTTTGCCTGATTTTATCACTTCTATTTTAGTGTGGACTTGAGGATATTATCTTAAAAGTTCAGAAAACAGTAAATACATATGTTATTGTAACATATATAGAAACATATCTATATAGTAACATACATAGGAAATTTATTATTATTCTTCAACCTCTTGGTACTGTGTTTCTAACGTTTAGTGATAAACTTAGTCATTATGTTCTCATTTATGAACTCGTCTCAGTTTCTGTTTTTTCCCCACATTTTTTGTTCCGTTTTGTATACCACACAACCTTCAGTTTCTCCTGATGTGATCTCAACAATTTTATTTAAGTACAATTAATTTTTTCACTCTAGGTATAAGCAGGCAGTATCTTTGTCACGTATTGATTCACATAAAAAGATGAAACAACTCAAGAAACTTTGGATAGCTGTTTCGTTTAAATTTGAGGTTCCCCAACAATGAGCACCCACGATCCCATACACTATTAAATTTAGAACCTTCAGGTCTCATAATGTGCATGTTGGCGTTAGGGATACTAGATCCTCAGAAATCGCTTGGTAAACATCTTAATTTTGTAATTTACTTATCGAAATTTGATTTTCTTATTTTTTCACCAAAAGCTCCTTGTATTACTTTCTTTGTTTTTCCCATCTGAAACGACTTTAATGTCATCAGTTCGTTTGTTCTTCTAGTGCACTATTTTGTGGCTGGTTTAAGGGCGCCTTTTTGTTTTGTATATATTACTCCCTAATTAAGTGCTTGTTGTTCGTTCGTTCCAGGTTGCTTGTGGAGTACGTATTCTTCCTGTTTGTCTTGTTATTGTGTCGCTGGTTATACGTTCTGTTCGCTAATACCATGTTGTATCTTAATTATCGCGAACATATCAGTCCGAATCGAGTGTTATTTGATTCTATTGTAATCTAATCCCGTTACCTGTGCGACAATTAAATATAAATAGTAGTATATATGTTTTGGTGAATCGCTTTTATTTACACTAAAAATTCACGATGAGCTAAACCCTAATCTAGATTATGGAAATTCGATCCTTACGTTTTTACTATTACTAGTTCCCCTCTTTTTTACAATTCATTCTATCCTTATAATAGATCACTTTACATATGTATACTTCTTCTCCATTGCTGCTAATGCTTTTACTACCTCTACTATGGGATTTGAAATGACAGTTCCATCTATGTGAGCTGATGTGGTATGACAACTTGAACAGATGTACGTACGTACTGAATTCTACGTTGCAACTGACTGACTTACTAAATGGACATTTCTCTGAATCTTCTATTGTGTTTTGCGCTTACGTACTTTCACCAATTAAAATTTGTTTTTCCTACGTTTATTTCTGTAATGTTTTTCCTGAATACATTATTCACCAATGAATGAAATCTCCTTTTTGTTTAATTTGTCGATATGAACCGAAATAACCAAGCATTGTTGACATTAATAATAAATGTAGTTCATGTATTTGTCTATAAATCAATTTCACTCGGATAAAATGGTGTATCAGTTACTTGGACATTTAAAAATAGATGCAATCTCTATTTAACTGCGCTATTCGATTTTCATCAAAATTTTAATCGGCATTCATTTTGAGTTTACAATTGCCTTTAAAGCCATTTTACTTTTGCAGTCAATATTAAAGGTTAAGTTGTGAGAAGTGTTTTCTAATTTCATTTCATTACTGTTATGTTCTCTATAGATTTTTGTTAATCAAACGTACATCGTAGACTTTCCGCGTTTCAAACATCGTGGACTAATGATTGACACTTCTAGGCATTTTATGAGCAAATCTGTTATTTTATTGAACTTGGTAAGTTTTTTTAACGATATAATGTAGCATTATCTTTTACTGTATACTTAAAACTCATTGAATAATATAATGTCTATTTCATTTACATATTATCTTGCCTATCTGAAGAGTTTATGAAAAGCTTACTTATTTTTCATTGGTTTGTTACACTTTAGTAAATTGTTTATTTACTAAATCATTTTTTGCTTTGTGTACAATGAATTTCGACTTGTGACAACTATGTATTTGCATTACGGGGGTTGTGAAGATTGTTAAGTTACACACATATGTCTAGCCAAATGATCAGTCTAAAATAACATATAAGATATAAAATCGTAAGGAAACGGGTCCTAGGTAGGGGTGGTAGATCAATAGATTAATTATTAAAACTTCATTAGTTGAGGTCCACTGACAAGTGGACTGAGTCATGTCGGTAGGTGTCGACTACCTGGTTGGGGTCGATGGTTAGAGATCCCGAGTGACATGGCTCAAAACCGTTTGCAATGGCTCAGGTGCATTTAATCTTCGTGTTCTATGAAATTCTAACCTTCTGAATACCTCATCACCTCTGTCTTTCTCTTTCTAAAGTTATCTCACTGAATTATACTTCTTGAATAACATCTTGGAACCATAATCTCTCGGATTACTTCTAATACTTTTACTACCTCTACTACTATGGGATTTGAGTTGACAATTGTGTCTTTGTGCTAATGTGATATGGCAACTTGAACTGCTGTACTTACGTGCAAAGTTCTACGTTGATGTTGATGATGATGAGGTGGTTAAGATATATGTTGCCTATGCTAGCTATGTTTTACCATGCAGGAATAGGTCGGAAGAACGCTAGGGGCGGCTAAACCAAAACATGGCACATATCCATGAAGTCACTGACAAGTGGATTGAGTCATGTTGGTAAATGTAGTCTACTTAGTTGGGATCCGCGAGATGACAGATGACTTTGAATGACATGGCTCAAAATCGTTTGCAATGGCGCACGTGCACTCATTATTTGTATTCCCTCAAATCGTAACCTTATGAATTCCTTATCACTTTTATCGTTTGCTTTTAGGTTTATTTCCCTCGATTCTACCTCTTGAATAATATCTTCGAACCCTAATCTCTCCGATTACTGCTAATATTTCTAGTACCTCTACTACTATGGGATTTGAAGTGGCCATCACATCTCTTTGTTGACGCGGTATGGCTATTTGAACTGATGTATGTACGTACGAAGTTCGATGTTGTTGTTGACTGGCTGACTGACTGATTAACCCCATCTACCTAGTCTGTTCTTTCTCACTTATTGTGATATCGTTGTTACCGATGTTTACAAACTAACTTGATTATATATTCATATTTTGTATATATTTCGTTAACGCTTTTATTTTGGATATACTTTCTATCTCTCCTTTAGGAAGCTATGAGTTATAACAAATTAAATGTTTTACATTGGCATATTGTGGATGACCAGTCATTTCCTTATCAAAGTAATGTATTTCCTGAACTTTCAGCTCAGGTATGTTTTATTTGAGAATGATAAGTTTTTTCAACTTGAAAAATTTCATTAATTCATTATTAAAACTTTTATAACCGGAAGATAATTTTTATTGTTTACTGTTATTAGATGATAAGTCTTCGGAAATTAGGTAGATCTAGACATGCTTCACTTAATCGGAGACTACGTTGTAGTGTTCATCCATGATCTAATACGGGACCATACTCTAGGACATTCATGTCGCATGATGGGAAAAATATCTTAAAGTACTAAGTTGAAACATAACTATCTAACTTTCCGTATTGAAAAACAATATTTCTCTCCCTGTGATCATTTTACTCCGTTTTAAATACTTTTGTGACTGAACAACTTTTTCCTGTTTAAGAAGAATTTTGGCTATCAGTATTTAACCATATGTCAAGTGTACTACTATACTAAGTATAATAATCTCACTAACCATTGCTTTTCTCAGTCTTGTAATGATTAATTTTCAAAATCCTAGTTGCTTTTATTTATATTTTTGTTAAAACTTGTTTATTAAAATGAATTATTTTTTATCTCATGATATGTTTGACCGTTAGTCATTGACCACCTACAGTGGCTTTTTTTCGTAGCAACATACCTGTGAGTAGAGATGGATAGTTGCTAACACTGGAATCCAGGATGCTCGTTTCTTCCTATTCAGGACTCGTTAACTGAATGCACCTGCATCTCAGATTTGATGTTGATTCCGAGACTCAAATCCAGTGCCGTTCGTTTCAAACGCCATCATGTTGTCCGCTTAGCTACTGAGTCCACATATCCACTGGCTTGTACAATGGGGTGAAGTCTAACTCATTTGTATTGGTAGTTTAAATCTTCCCGTTGATAGTTAGGACTGTAATTGATCAAACTTATTCCACTACTAACCGCTATCTTTTTCTACTTATAATGCTTGTAACCTAAAGGCAATATCGAGGCAACGCACACAAGATGAGCATATACTAAATGAAAATGACCAGTTCCTATCAATAAGAGGATTCTTACTATCGATACTAAAGAAGTGGTTTCTTTAAGTTAAATTGTTATCTTTAAATTAAAAGATTAGGTTAGTCAAGTATATGTTTGTAGTGTGCCGATTATGGGCGTGTTCTTACGTTTCGTAATAAGCTCGTTCAGATTGTCCTATCCAAATGACGCCTGACGGTTAATAAATCAGAAGATGAATTCCAAGTATCGTATACGTTTATTGTAGCACACCACAATAAGGATAGCAGACCACAGACAGACCGAGCAGACACACTAGCGAGCGAATATGCGAATGAGCGAATGAGTTAATAAGATTAAAATGTTCGTATGTATACAAAGGAAAATGTCTTAGTCATCGTGGTATTGAAGAGATTAATATTAAAGCGAATAGGATGCATATATGCGTAGGCGTTAAGCAATGCTCAGTCATACTAGCTCATACAAACCATACAATCATAAAAGCCAATGGTACATACAAGTTGTTGCTAAGCCAATGGCTTGGTTAAAGAAATTAATCGAAAGGGCTTGAGCAAATTAAATGTAAGCGGATGCAAATAAATGTGGAGGCACTACATGTTTTCCGTTTTTTAATTTCAACTAATCGTGCTTTAGCTTCAGTTGTTTCTTTTTTCGTTTAACTTTTTATTGCTTTCATCATTTGTTACCTTGTGCAGGTGTTAGTATATATGTCTTTGGATATTTCTAGGGTGCTTATCGAGAAGACTTGGTTTATACATCAAATGATATTAAGGAAATTTTGGAGTTTGCTCGATTGCGAGGCATTCGTGTTATTCCTGAATTCGATATACCAGGTATTGTTATTTAATAAATACACACCTTTTATCCTGTACTTTACTACCATCCTATATATCAAGTTGCTTGTTATTTTTCAAGGTTCATAAACTTACTTATGCTAATTGACTTTTAGAAACTTTGTTATTTCTCCAATTAATTAAGTTCTTTAAATCCAGAGGTTCTTGTTTCACTTTTATCTTCATTTTTAGCTTCTAGTATTCGAAGGTGTCTCAGTACTGTTCAGGTTGTTTGCTGATTCAAGACATATATATATATATATCTTTTTTTTCAGCAGCAAACAACAGAAGTCCATTGTAAGGCTTTCATGTTGCGGGTTTTCTGAACCACTATTGATTATTTCTCAGGATATCTAGTATTATTTTTCTGGCCTTTTTTGTATAAAAGCACCTTATCAACACCATGCATATCTACTTTGAAGAAAACCTGACTTGAAACCAAAAACAAGGGTTATTTTACTCTTTCTGCAGACTTTGAGTTTAAAAATTTTTTTATTGACTGGTAAATTCGACAATCGCATACAGGTTTGTGCAATAAATAACGGAACTTAATTATATAAGGGTTTATTTCACTAATTATCTAAAGCTTCTGATACGTTGAACAGGATTTCAGCTTATAGTTAGCAAAATCAGCATTAATCCCTTAAACAATACAGTAACACTTTTACCTGTCTTTAAAATTTTAATACTTTTGCGCAACAAAATCATCAAGTAACGAAGTTAAATATTTCAAAGTTATTTTCACAATATAAAATTACAGGCGATCCGCCAGTTTTCTTATTATTATTTATATGTGGATGGTTTAGACATGGGTATTGATAGAAATTAGTAGATCTTAATCAAAACAAACCTCAGGAACTTCACTTCTTTCTGTCTTAAAGAAGCTCCTAAATATTCTAAGTTTATCTATGAAACAAACCATACATAAGTTCTTGAAATAGAATAAAACTGTTGTTAACACTTGTTAATTTCAAGTGCTAGGAATCATGGTAAAGCAATTACCTGATGGGACTGACTATTATAAGTACGTTTATTCACGGTTTGTTTACTCAGATACCCACCGACTAATATAAAGTGTGAGTCGGATTACAATCTAATTCTTGTAAACAAGATTGTACAGTCGCACATCAGTAACCCTTGTTGGTTACTGTTTTGGAACTAACAGCAACTTAGTTTCCTTCCAGCTTCATCCATATACCAAGGATCTGTTTGTTTTTTATATTTTGATGGAAAGTCGTCTCAGTATAAACTTCTTTATTGTTTGATTTTACTTGAGTGAAACAATTTTTTAATCATACTATCGTTTAAAGCCTGGTGTAGGAGTAGGTTAGAAGAAAGCTAGAGGCAGCCAAACCAAAACATGGCACAAATCCATGAAGTCACTGACAACAAGACTGAGCCATTTTGATAGGTGTGGACTACCTGGTTGTGGTCTGCGAAACGATAATAACCGATGGTTAGAGACCTTCAATGACATGGCTCAGAATCTTTTGCAGTAGTGCGGATGCATCCATTTTTTGTCTTCTCTCAAATTCTGACCTCCTGAATTCCTCTTGACTGTCTTTCTCTCTTTTTAAATGGATTCCTCTGGGATATAATTCTCGAATTACATCTTCGATCACAAATCTTTTTGATGGTCGCTAATACTTCTACTACCTCCATTACTATGGTATTTCAATCGACAATTGCGTCTCTGTGCTTATGTGGTATGACCACGTGAACTGATGTACTACGTACGAAGTTCTACGTTGTAAAAAGAAGAGAAGATACGATGAGATACAGCTTAAAAGTAAAAGAATACAGGTTTATATATGGAGGAAAAAAGGATCGGATTAAAGTAAAGCAAGAAACTATGGTGTCTTTATTTACTAAAAATTTTGAAATTTAAAGGCTTAAGTTTGGTTTAATAATTGTCGAGATTTCAAACAATTCTAATTACTGTTTATTTGAGTGGCTTTTTAGCTTCTCACATGTGATTGACAAGCCTATTTCAAAATGCACTGTTTTCTAAAATTTTCTCTAGATTAAGTTAGAAAAAGTATCCTTTTTTAAAATTGGTATGGTGAAAATTTTCAAGCCTCAAATTTACAGTTTAAGGCGCATAAACTCTCACCATAGATGACTCATTTTTAAATACAATTCAAAATATTGCACAAATACGCCCACACTATCACCCTTAGTTGAATCTGAAATAAGCGTTTTGACTTAAATTTGTTTGTTTGTCTATAGTTTAGAAAATCAATGAATTTAGGGCATACATTTCTTGTTATCGCTCGCTTATATTATTGCTTCACGTTTATGCATCGTATCAAATCATCTAGGTCATACTTAGTGTTACGCATGAACGTAAACATGTCATTTTGATATGCTTGAACTATTACGAGTTTACCTTAGTCGGAAAATGAGAGCGAGGATCGAGGATCCGGCGACACGACATGCTACTCTAATCCGAGTGTACCAACCTCCATTGAGTGAAAGAAGACGATTGATATGGAGTAGAACCTATATTCTACAATCATCCAGAAAGTACGAGGTCCGAATCCAGAAGAGAACAAGGACCGCGGACTTAGGAAGTTAGAAAGTTACAGATAATGGGTATTTATACATTTAGGTTGAATAGGAAACAGCATCGAAGTCTGCGACACTGACAGTTAAGACGACGTTTGAAGTGACATTGAATTTCAGGACGACCAATCAGAAACAACACTGGAGTACGTGACATTGATATCTAGGACGACCATAAAATTGACCAGTAGGAATTAAACAATAGGAATTGACCAATAATTCTCTTAGGATATTGGATAAACATCGTAACAGTAGTCAATCAACTCAAGATCTATATATGCCAATAATGACATATCAGTTACAGTTTTCGATGTCAACAACAGGAAAACTGAGAGCCTTGCATATATAACATGAGAATTTGTTTAACCTAGTTGCAGCATTCAGTCAGTTACAACTTCGTTAGTACGTACATCACTATAAGTTGCCATACCACATTGGAGACGGAATTTTCAACTCATCCCATAGGAGTAGAAGTATGAGGTGCAATCGGAGAGAATAGGGTTCGAAGATATTATTCAAGAAGTAAGATCTACTGAAATAAATTTAAAACGAGAAAGACAAAGGTGATGAGGAATTCAGAAGATTAAAACCCGGGAGAAGAAAAAGAATGAATACATCTGCGCCATCGCAAACATTTTTGAGCTATGTCATTCAAGATTTCTAAGCATTGATTACTATCATCTCGCGGATCCCAACCAGCTAGTCTACACCTACCAACATGACTCAGTCCACTTGTCAGTGACTTCATGAATTTGTGTCATGTTTCGGTCTGACCGGCCCTAGTCTTCTTCCAACCTACTCCTACATCACAAAACAGCTCGTCTGGGTGGTCGGGCATTCGCAACACATGTCCCAATCACCAAAGCTGATGAGGTTTCATTACTTCATCTATGGATTTGCTATCACTATTGATGTGCTATCCTTACCTAGTACCCGTTATCTAACACCAGCATTGCTTACGGGCAATGATTCGAGTAAAGAGCCTGTATACGGTAAATGTGCTACAGAAGCAGCATTAGAGCTTCAAGAATTAGGACGCGTAAACCTAGTTGATTCTCTATCTGGACAAGATGAAATCAAATTGGTGGTTTACTCGGATCCTGTTAGTTCGTTTTGGAGTCACTGCATATGTCGATTGAGCAAGATTGTAGAATCTTAGCTAGCGAAGCTGTTTGCCTATTTTGATAAATGTTCGAACATTGAAAGCTCCAACATGTAGTGTAGAGTAGGGTTTCTGTAGACCAGGGACAACTTTTCATGAACTCGAAACGTATGAAAGGTTTAGCTGTGAAGAAGTATTAAGGGGGGTAGGAAGGATTGGTTTTTCATCGCTTCTGTCTCGTGTGCTTTTACGGTTATGAGGGCGGTTGTCACTTCCCAACTGCGCTCACAGTAGATAGGTACATCAATAAGGAACCTGGAAAGGTAAATTAGCGTTGGTCTGAGCCACCTGGATGCCTGACCGCAGAGCCCAAGGGACAACTGCTTGTGGCTGGTAAGATACAACTTTTTTGTGGTAGTTTTCTAAAGCGTTAGCTCCACTCTAAAGTGGCCTTGCTGCCGGAGACGGAAATCCGTGAGATAAGGTGAGGTGTGAAATTTTTAGGGTCGACCTTTTCTAAACCCTTCCTTCCTTGTGAGAAGGTAGCATCGCTGCCGATGCTGGTTGTCCGAGGGAAACACCTTACTGCCGTCACACTCCCTTACAGTCAGCAGTACGTCTTCGCCCTCAAACCTTGAGTAGCTCTTTTTGGTCTCATCGTTCTCCAGTCGACATGCCTAGCATTGTAGAACCTACAGGAACATATATCTCAGCCAATATAGCTCGGTTGGTTCATCATGACAGGCATGCCAACACATACCAACACATCAAGGTAGTAGCTACGTACGGGACTTATTTGCAGCATTGTTGGTTCACCTTATGAAAATGTTTTCAGTTAATTTTTGATAAATTTTTGAAAGCACATTCTCGTTTGATATCTTCTCAAACGGGTTTGTAAAAATACTATCAGCATATATTTTATAGCTGACGAATGTTGAAGATCTTATTTTCTATTGTGAACTGCTATTTCAGTTGTACCTTAAAGTGGTTTTTACTTCAACGTATTGATATTTTTAAAAATCATATTATTTATAATATCAAATTTCTACGTTGCTAAATCATCATCATTTTATCAAATTTGAATTATAAATATCATGATAACTTTCTGCGTCAAAGATTTGTAAATAAATTCACTTTTATCTCTTTCACAGAATACAATGCAGAATTCAGTCAGTAAAGCTGTTTGAATATCTATTTAATATTATTGTTACAGAAGTTAATTCATATAACTTTTCACGCATCGGAATTTATTTGCAAATAGCTTTGTTTTCCTTTTTTATTTCTGTGAATTCATGTAGGTCATACCAGAAGTTTGTCATTATCTCATCCAGAAATAATGTCTCAATGTTCTAAGAGCGGTCATTTTGGTCCACTCAATCCAGTATCAAATAACACATATGAATTTTTGGAAAATTTACTCCGTGAAGTTTTCCAGTTATTTTTAGATGATTCTATTCATCTAGGCGGTGATGAAGTTGAAACAATATGTTGGTCGGTTATCAAATACCCTTTATTTTCTCCGTTTATTTTCTTGTGAAATATCTTCTCTTTCGCAAAGCTTATACTCTCTATAGAACAGCTTTTTTATTCATTTGTAGCCTGCTGTTAGATTGTTGGAAATAATCAAAATGAAACCGTGAACTTTAGGTTTGTGCTACATGGTACTTGTTGGCAAGGTGTAGGATTCAAACACGCATCACCCAGCTTCTGAACGTCTTTTGAAGATCACTGGCACATCTTGCTGATAATTACTAACTACACATTTTTGCAACCATGAATCGATCAATTTTAGACCACCATTAAAAACCGGGAAACACTGGACGGCCGTTTCGTCCTGGTATGGGACTCCTCAGCAGTGCGCGTCCATGACTCCTGCACCCCGCGGGATTCGAACCCTGGACCTTCGGAATTGTAGGCGAACGCCTAACCATCGGACCACTGAGCCGGCATCTAACGGTGTAATGTCTAACTTGATCAATTCACAGGGTGCAGAAGTCTTGGATGCGCACTACTGAGGAGTCCCATACCTGGACGAAACGGCCGTCCAGTGCTTCCAGGTTTTTAATGGTGGTCTAACATTGATCGATTCATGGTTTCAAAAATGTGTAACTTAACAATCTTCACAACCCCGTGATGCAAATTACTAACTAGCACGAAACATTGGTCTATCGTTTCCTACCTACTAGCTCTAACCGCCTAGCATATATGATATGATATCAAATCATTTAGACAAGTTTCCACACTTCAGTATGCTCGATCAAATCCGATCGAGCTGAGATCCAGCGATATACAAGACCTAGGTTTAGTCCCTGGTAATGGGGTCGTGAATACTTATTACCGATGAGTCCCATGATGGAATCAAGCCAATTTTTATTGCTCTTGGATATTCAGTGGCTCTTGATCTAAAGATAATTCAGCCATTTCCGCAATTATTATTTCTATTTGTGATGTCGTCAATTAGTTCACTTTCAAAGCATTCGTAAAAATATTTTTCTGTTGGGTGTTTATCAAGTTAACATTTTGGCTTTCATGATAATATGCTCACAAATGTTCATATTTTCGATGCATTAAATCTAGAAATGCAATAAAACTGCCCAAACAACAGATAGTGATGACTGTCTGCTGCTACTGTGCTCAGATAACCATCAATTTCTAGCAAATACTAACTTTAAGCACAAGCAAAAACATCTAGTAACATGGTGACTCCCTGATTCGTCCCACCACCATATGACCCAACTAGATCACATCACTATCAGCTTCCGATGGAGACGCTCGATAGAAGGCTGCCGCTCATTCTGGTGCGCATGTTTAGATTTAGATCATGCTTCAGTACGAGCACCTATTTGTCTGCAGCTTACTGAACGTAAGAAAGATGCAGCGAGGAAACCCCTTGCAGTTCTACTTAATGATAGCAAAGATAAAAATATCTTTTAGGAGAGACTAGAAAAACACAGCCACTCATTCTGGGGCACATGTTTACATTCAAACCATGCTCTAGTATTAGCGCGTATTGAACGTAAGAAAGACTTAGCGATGGAACTCCTTGCAGTTCTACTTAACGATAGCAAAGCTAAGAATATATTTCAGAAGCGACTATAAAAACAGTCAGGCAGCCATGTTAGTGATTCCAAACTCGAGGCATCTCGGAATGATATCCGAAATGCTGTGAAAACAACAGTGATATCTGTTAATAAAGTGAACCATGAAGTTAGAGAGAAACATTGGATTTCAGTAGCATCTACTGAACCGATAGATACTCGGAAATCCATTCTGGCTGTGAACACGATGAGGAGCGGAGTTGGCTTAAGCGCAGGCTGATAAGAAACCTACGTAATGATCGCGAACAGTTGTGGGTAGCAAAAGCAAGAGAGATGGAAGAGACAGCAGAGATAGGTAACAGTAGACAACTGTTCAAACTTATCAAGGAAACTGGTATTAGGAATCCCACCATTAGCGATGATGGGCTTATTATTTATTCTCAACCCAGGAAATTATACCGATGGGCAAAACACTTTTAGGACCAACTCAACTGTCTTTCAACCACATTTCTATTACTCACCATCTCCGGTCAACCTGAATGGCAAGTGGATGTAAGTCCTCCGAATCCTGATGAAATTGAAAAAGCAATAGGAAATGTGAAGTGAGAAGCAGGCCGTAACAGGCCTACCCCTGAGATTTTCAAGGATGGTGTTCCAGTTTTAACAGTTACATTGACGGAGATCTTAAGTAGATTCTGTGAACTGGACGTAATCCCACCTGACTGGTTTCGATTCCTGTTTGTCCTAATTTATAAGAAAGGACAAAAGTCCTCTTGTGTCAATCATAGAGAAATCAGTTTAACTAATAGCGTCTAAAATATTGGGCTGGGCACTTTCACGACTTCGCGCATGAGATTCGAACCCATAACCTTTGTCCTTAAGTGCAAACGCTTAACATCCGAACCACTGAGCCACCACCCAAGTGTTGATGTTTAAGATAAGTCAATCTACGATATTTCTGCATTTCTGGTGAAAAGACTGCCAATTGAGCTAAGCCGTATTAAGTGTGAGGCAGCTACCCACAGAAGACAGTGGGTAAGGTCGCGCAATATCGTATCTTGATTGTTGTTGAATGCCACTTAGTGGTCCGGAGATTAGGCATTGTCGCTCAAGACTGAACGCATTGGATAGACTCCCCTGTGCAAGTGCGCGGATAAGCACTGCCTAGGAGTCCCATACTAGGATGAAATCGCCGTCCAGTACTTCCAGGTTTCCAGTAATAGTCTAACGTTTATCGTTTCATAGTTTCAATGAAATTCAGAAATCCCCAAAACGCTCTACTTATCCCGTAACGTGACTTGATTCAATCATATTGATTTACTTTAATGAATTCTATGAATTTTCCATGTTGTATATATATATATATATATCTATATATATATCTGCTTTTATAGGGAACGTGATCCTAAAATCTTAAATAATGTCGAGTCTACTGGGCAGTTCAGTTCAACATTTTGGACTAACTATTTTTGGAGACGGTAATTTACTAATATTTTTTCTAATCAAAATGTTTCGGTATAGTTGTTTAAAAATATTTTAAGATTGTTCTTCATCAGTTTTGTAAATAATGTTTATTTTTTTCATAATGCTTATTGTAGAAATCTTGTGTTTTCAGTATCTCATTTCGAAACACCGCAATAATTTCGATATTATCCCTAAGATAATTTGCCTAAAAAACATTATTTTCTCAGTTCGGTATGCTTATTTTTACGAGCGTTTTTTGAAATGATAATTCTGTTTCATCATTACTTATGAATATTTACTTTCTTAAATATAGTCTGCAGATATTCTTTATTTTTGTGTTCTAACGTGCTAGATTTACTGTAATAGGGCACCTGAGGTCGAACAATGTTTAGTTTATCAGAAAATATCTACTTGTATAACTGTAGGGAAGACTCACGTCTATACGATTATGTAAAAAGAATAGAGCGGGGAAATTTTTGTTCCTAATTACTTTTTCATCGTGACTCTGTACAACAAAATGTACCATAACCATTATATAATTCCACAATGGTTATAAACTAATGTCTAGTGATTAATTGAGTGATTGGAAGAAACAGGATTATAATAATCAATGTAGTTATCTGTAAAAATTGAAAAATCCAGCTGAAAAATTGCTAGATTGACAAAAATAGTTTGATAACGAATCAGTATTAAAGTAGCAATAAAGAAGTCAAAAGATGGATATTGATAAGATCTTGAAAGTGAAAGAAATTATTTGAGTATTCTTTTTTTGAAAGAATGAATTAGAAGAATTTTCCTAGCAATATTTGTCTTTATAATCAAGAACAAACTAACTTACATCATGTGGGCTTGAACTAACAGGACTATTCAATGTTCGATGTTGACAGAGGGAAAGTGATCAGTTTTAGATTGCTGGATAAATAAAATTTACATCAATCTATTGAATAGTAGTTATTTTTGTACTAATTGATAAAAGGCAAATAAGAGTTCGGCGTTGAAGTTTGCGTGTATGAGTCTCACACGATATTTCTTTGTTTTTAATTTTTTGAGAAGAGTATTAGCAAAAGCCTTTTTTAATAGTAAATAAAATTTTGTTGAAATGAAAGCTGAGTTTTGGAATTTTAGTATTTTATATATGGACGTCCCGACCGAAGCTGCTACCTTGACATGGTGGTCGGGCTTGCCTATCGTGATGACCCAACCGAGCTATATTGGCTGGAACTTATGTTTCTGAAGATTCTACCATGCCAGGCAGGTCGATTGGAGAGCGATGAGACTAAAAGCAGCTACTCAAGGTCTGAGGACGAAGTCGTACTGCTGACTGCAGAGGGGTGTGACAACAGTAAGGTGTTTCCCTCGGACAATCCACATCTGCAGTGATGCTGCCTTCTCACAAGGAAGGAAGGGTTAGAAAAGGTCGACCCTAAAAATGTCACACCTCAACTTACCTCACGGATTTCCGTCTCCGTCGGTAAGGGTGCTCACTAAGGGCTTTCAAGAGCGTAGCTAATACTCAAAAAGCTTCTCATAAAAAGGCCGTGCGTGACCGGCCTCAAGCAGTTGTCCCTTGGTCTCTGCGGTCACGCGCCCAGGTCTCCAAGACCAACATTAATCTATCTTCCTTTTCAGGTCCCTCAAGAAACAACCTTCCACGGTGTGGGCAGCCGGGAAGTGACAACCGCCCTCATACCCGTAACAGCACACGAGACCGAATTGGTCAAAATCGAATCCTTCCTATACCCCCTAGTACCTCTCCTATCTCCACGACTAACTCTTATCACATTCATTTATTACAGTGCACAGCTAATGCAAACGATGTGAGTTCGCGAAACGTCGTTCCTGGTCTCCTAAAACCCCGTTCTAAACTACATGTTGGAGCATTTAGTGTACGGACATTGTGTCAAATAAGGCAACAGGCATCATTAGCTAGGACTTTAAAATCTCGTGCCATCGATGTATGCTGCGTCTCGGAAACGCGCATACAGGATCCGAGTAGCATCATTCACTTGACCTCACCATGTCAAGATAAAGAAGCTGCTCGATTTACCCTTCGTGTATCGTTCATTTTTGAAAATTTTATATTCTCAAGTTCATGATTTTTCAAAACAAAATACATTAAAAAACGAATAAATTATAACTGTAGAAGGTATTCACTACGAATCAACTTCAGTTTGAGTACCGTTTAAAAAAAGGATCGGAATTCAAATTTGTACAGAGAATTAATTCAATGGAATGCCAGTTTATGTTCACACTCAGTGGAACTATGAACTGATTTGTTATAAATACATGCAGCTATGCTCATAGATTGTTAGCTTGAAGAACTTCAACTACTTATTGGATGATTTAAATTATTTATTCAGTTAATCTGATTGTAAACAGTCTCAGCTGAACATTGACAAATTGTTTGGATGCAAATATAACTAAGGCCAGAAAAAAATATGTCCGGTTGGTAACATCTTTAGAGGTTATAACTAATTTCAATAATATGAAAATACACTGATATCTGCTAGCAAGGTAAACCATAAGGCTAGGATGAAGCCGTGGATTTCAGTCGCATCCACCGAACTGATGGATGCTCGAAAACGCATCCCACCTGACTCTGAACATGAGGAAGAGCGTAGTTAGCTTAGGCGCATACTTATAAAAAGCCTACGTAACGACCGCGAACAGTGGTGGGTAGCGAAAGCAAAAGCGATGGAAAAGGCAGCGATGATAGGCAACACTAGACAACTTTTCCGCCTTATCAAAGAAACCGGTATTAGGAACCCGAATGTGAGTGAGACTATCTCGGAAAAGGATGGTCTTATTATCCATTCTCAATCCAGGAGATTGGACCGATGGGCAGAACACTTTAGGGACCAGTTCAACTGGTCTTCAGCCACACTTCGATTGCCCACGATCTCCAGTCATCCTGAATCGCAAATCGATTTAAGTCCTCCCAGTTTACGTGAAGTTGAGAAAGCAATAGGAAATCTAAAGGAAGGTAGAGCAGCAGGTCCTGATAGACTGACCTCTTAGATATTTAAGGACGGTGGTCCAGTTTTAGCAGCTAGGTTGACTGAGATCCTAGGTAGAATCTGGGAACTGGACGTAATCCTATCTGACTGATCTCAGTCGCTGATTGTCCCAATCTACAAGAAAGGACAAAAGTCCTCTTGTGACAATCATTGGGGAATAAGTCTAACTAATATAGTTTCTAAACTGTTAGCCTCCATTATACTTAGACGTCTAACTAGAGCTCGTGAAGAGCAGACTCGAGAAAACCAGTCTGGTTTCCGACCTGGACGTGGTCATATAGACCACATCTTCACACTACAACAGGTTCTGGAACACAGACACACATTTAGACGTCCGACAATAGTTGTGTTCCTGGACCTGAAAGCGGCATTTGACTCAGTGAATCGTGAGGTTCTGTGACAGTGTCTGTCATTGAAAGGCGTACCAAAGAAGTACATTAACCTTATACAAGCTCTCTACTCGAACACTACTGGTCGGGTGAGAGCATATGTCGAACTGTCATCTGAATTCTCTACTGCAAGTGGTGTCCGTCAGGGATGTCTACTCTCTCCATTCTTGTTTAATTTTATCATAGACATGCTCTTAGAGTTAACATTAAGCTTGTCAGATTTTTCAGGGGTTGACCTTCTACTAGGAAAGTCGCTTACTGATCTAGAATATGCCGATGACATAGTTCTATTCGGTGAAGACGCTGACAAAATGCAGAGTCTTCTGACTACCATAAGCAATAATGCGAGCATGTTCGGGATGCGGTTTTCCCCCTCGAAATGCAAAATGTTGCTTCGTGATCGGGTTGTATCGGCACCTGAACTAGTGATAGGGAGTGAAGTAGTCGAACGTGTAGACCGCTTCACTTATCTGGGGAGTCCCATCAGTGCTGATGGGCTGGTGACTGACGAAACCTCGGCGCGGATACAGAAGGCTCGATTGGCTTTTGCCAAATTGCGTCACTTATGGCGTAGGCGAGATATCTGTTCGCTAACCAAAGGACGGGTGTACTGCGCAGCAGTTCGCTCCATTTTCCTATATGGCTGTGAAACATAGCCGTTAAGAGTAGAAGATATTCGTAGGTTACTAGTATTCGATCATAGATGTTTAAGAAGCATTGCTCGTATATCCTGGGACAACCGAGTCAGCAACTTTGTTATTAGGAAACGGGTGCTAGGTAAGGATGGCAGATCAATTGATGAAGTGGTGAAACTACATCATTTGAGGTGGTTGGGATATGTGTTACTAATGAGATGACGGTACAGATTTCATTGAATCGAATTTCCTTTCAGCATATGAATCTAATAAAAATGACCAAAAACTTCTGGATATCAATAGAGCTTGATAGCCAACTGTGCTACTCCATCAAACTTGCCGTTGGGACATGTTTTATTTCTTGTCGTACGGGTTTTGAATGTAATAGATTTGATTGTCGTTATCTATCAATAGAGACCTGAAAGAATCTAATTAGTTGGTTTAGAACACTGGAGGTAACTTGAATTTACGAATATGCTTTAGTGGTTATAGAACCATTTATTCATTTTCAGTTAACGAAAAATTATTTTACTGATCAGTGAATATATATTTATTCACCATTATTTCGATTTATTACATATGAGAATAGGTGAATGTAACCTAAAATTTCCTCTTAGATTGTATAATTCTGTATTTCATTTCCATAATTTTTTTCATTCTATAGTGTACAGAATTTAGTTACTGAAATAGGCCGGAAGAATCCTCAATTAAAACGAAACTTAATTTTATGGCACGATGTCTTACATCAGGTGACCGAGGTAAAGTCGAAATATAATATAATTTGATAAATTTGTAGCACCTCACATACATTTTGTGCTTTTATCATTGTTGAGCTTATATACGCATGTTGCCTAGGCATTGCCTACGCACATAGTCATTCTACTAGCTCGAATGATTAATTGTTTAAATAATTCAAGAACAATATCGTCAATCGTATATTTGATTGTGTGTATGTGTATGCTTACTAGCTCATTACATGTCTAGCCTATTATGATTGCCTGATTATAAATAGTCATGCCGTACTTGGCTTCTTATTACCACCGTCGTACAAACAACGTTTGCCTATGTATGATATATGAAAATGAAGAAAAAGAATAATTTAAGTCTGAATTTTCGCCGGGTTGTACAGTCGGTTCCTGGTGGTAAACTTTAAAGAGTTTTTTCCATTTTAACTGTTGGAATAAAAATTTTCATCGAATCAAAATAAGCTGTTCATTCATGAACGCGTTGACAATAACTTGTTACGCCTGCACGTAAGCACGTCGACTTGATACACTTGAACTATTACGAGTTTAACTAGTCGGAAAACGAGAGCGAGGATCCGGCGACACGACATGCTACTCAAATCCGATTATCCCAACCCCCATATTTAGTAAAAATAAGAATACGTGACATGAAGTAGAACCTGTATTCTACAAGCATCCAGAAAGTACGAGGTCCGAATTCAGAAGAGAAGAAGGATCCCGGACTAGGGACCCGGGTCCTGGTCGTGGTCATAAAATGTTACAGATAATGCGTATTTATACATGTCGGTCGCATAGGAAACAGCATCGAATTCTGTGGCATTGACAGTTAAGACGACCAATAGGAGGTAACATTTCAAGTGACATTGATAGTCAGGACAACTAATAAGAAAGAACATTTGAAATGACATTGACAGTCCGGATGACCAATAAGAGACAACATCGATGTATTTGACCATAATTTTGACCAGTAGGATTTGACCAATAATTCTCTTAGGATATTGGATGAATATCCTGACATCACAATTTCTTCGGACGACAGTTTTTTTAGGAATATTAAAGATTCCCATTGTGAAAATTAGAACAACACATATAAGCGAACAATATTGTTTTCGATTAGATCGTCATTAGGCTTTACTCTAATATACATGAATATTCATATGAAAATATTAAACCAATCAAGGCAATTTGAGTCATAATCACAATGAAATGAAAAAGATTACATCACTACACACATAACAGACAAAAGTGCAAGTGGATAGTAGGAAGACAAGTGTACTGATAGTAGTAAGAAAATTATAAAATATGATGACTAAAGTTTTGCATTACGGGGTTGTGAAGATTGTTAAGTTACACATTTTTGAAACCATGAATCGATCAATGTTAGACCACCATTAGAAACCTGGAAGCACTGGACGGCCGTTTCGTCCTGGTATGGGACTGTTGGATACCGGCTCAGTGGTCTAACGGTTAGGGCGTTCGTGCACAATACCGAAGGTCCTCGGTTCCAATCCTGCGGGCTGCAGGAGTCGTGGACGCGCACTGCTGAGGAGTCCCATACCAGGACGAAACGGCCGTCCAGTGCTTCCAGGTTTCTAATGGTGGACTAAAGTTTTATGAATAGTAGGTCAAAGGTGGATGAATAGACTTCAAATAATCATTAAAAAACATCAAAACCGTTACGTAATAAGCAAATGTGTAAACATAAAATAAATTTAAAAAATGTCAAGCGTTAGTTACGTCATATCCGGCCACGGAAGAGACGGGATCGTAAACCATGCTGGGAGATGTTCACTCATTCGTTGGTTAGGTTGCCTGGAAGTACGTCCGATATAGCTATCTCCACAGGAGCAGCTGAATTTGTGAATGCACATAGAGGAGGCCAACTCAATTAATTTACCCTTCGTTTGGGTAGACAAAGCTGGTCGACTGGAGAATGTCAATGCAAGTTTGGCAGCGATACTCTGCAATACAGATTAATAAGAGTAATTATGATTTCACAATGAAATCAAACAACTTTTTCCTGTAATTCTGCTAATTTTGTATTTCATACATAGAAAGCGAAATTTCAAATCACTAAAATATTTTTCATATTTTATTTCCAATTTCGCATGCTCGTATTATTTATTCATGTACGCTGAATTGTTTTACAGTTTAAAAAGTCGCAGATAATTCAAGTCTGGAATGGTCGTCCATCAGATTCTTTATCTCAAGGTTATAATGTTATCTATTCAAGTTGTTGGTATTTGGACTCACTTAAGGATATTAAACAGTGGACAAATTTTTATTTGTGTGAACCAGCTGACGGTAAGTAGTTTATTTTCTATATAATTTATATGAAAAATCATGGTATATCATCATTTAACATGGAATTCGCGTTTCTATTGGTGATCTAAGATTAATGAACTTATGCTTGCAATGAAACTCAATGTAAACCCCAGTTATAAATTTCTCTTAGTTCATACGAGATGAAATTAACAAGATGGATATCAGTAGAATTGAAATAGATTTAGTAACAGTGATGATGTAAAGGATTTATCATTGAGAATATGATTCACAAAAGCTACTGGCTGTATTTTCATAAATTTTCATGTTATAATCCTGTTTTCACTTTTCGCCCCTTGTAAATGAAAATAGATATTAATTTACTATTAAAACATTCATTTCTGCTTGCCCACTTTATTGTTGTATTCTTTTAAAATCTCATAAAGATGCTCCAATGGGAACTGAACAACAAATTATTGGTGGTGAAGCTTGCATGTGGAGTGAATATCAATCTGATTACACAGTTCTAACAAGAATTTGGTAATTAAATCTACTATTTAATCGTGTTTGAATAATTTTTTTTGAAGTTGTTTTCTTTTAGCTGGATATTGTCTACTTTACTTCCATTTTATAATTATTAAAGTAATTTCTAGATTCCACTGAATTATTTGGTAAGTGAATGAGTAAGTTTTTACTCATCTAATGCATTCTACCGTTTTGCCACCAAAGCAATATTCAATATAAGCTGACTTAAATACTTTCTCATCATGACGGTTTTATTAGTTTGTTTTTTATTTACTGAGGCACCTTTATCTTTCAAAATGCATACATCACTAAGTTGTGAACGAATTATGTTCTGCAATAATTACAGAATATGTGCTAATGTTTGAGCATGATTCGGTTATTATGAACTCGTGTTGTGTCAAAAGAACAGAAATATAAGGTTAAATGGTTTGAAAAGATATATCTCATAAGTTGGTTTAGAAGACATTTATCACAGTTTATAACAATCGGACATGACAGTTTGGAACCAGTTATTGCTTCGAGGAGGACAAAGACATCTTGTCAATGCACAGATATTGTATCTAAGGCCAAAATAGTATACATCATTTACAACTAGAGAAAACAGGACAAGGATAGAGAGAGTAGAACAACAACTGCAAAAATTAATACTGTCATGTGATATAGTTATCTTAAAATCGAAATGCGTGTAATCGAATTCTGACAGACCAATTACGTTACATATTATAATTTGTTTTTATGTTGATATTAAAGATTCAATTATTCAATTAAAGTATTGCTTTGGAGCAAATCCAAGGTATGAAAATAGATTTTGAGTATTGAGTAGGGATAAATCTTCAGAACGTACCTGCTCATCACAGAAATTTATTTATTTCACTTGTTCCTTAGTTCTTGAATTTCTTTTAAACTGATCGTAACCTATTTTCTAACAGATTCATATTTGAAAGGGTGGACCATCGTTAAATTTCGATCCAGCAATTTAATTATAGTATGCTGTGAATCGAGCCACAAAGTTCTTGAATTTAGTTTCTAATTATGCTGAGGATGTGTACAACCTTTAAATCTGAAGCTGTTGTGACACTCATAGATCCATTGTTTCCCAGTTCTCAACAATTTTCCACTTCATATCACCCAGTAACGAAAAATATTCCCATATCTCACCGTGTTGATAGATTGTGATGTAAGCCAACGCATTGCTCAAGGCTCCACAGTGTGCATAACTGATTGAGTCTCAAGATCAGTATTAAGTTTAAATCTAAGGGAGTCAAAGTAATAAACGCCTTTTGAGGAGCCGTCAATTTGGACGTTACAAAAAAATACATATTTGTGTTTGATATGGAGCATATATAAAGCTCACTTTTAAAATAGGATCCATCAATAGTCGTTTTAAAAAGTTTGTAAAGCAGAAAAATACCGGATAAATTTATGTATTCGTCAGTAACTATTTAAAATGTGTCTGAACAATTTAAATTAAACAAAAGGGAGAGTTTATTATCGTAAATCCCACTGATTTTGGATGTTATTACTGTTCCAGGACATCTTTTCTTTCACGTTCCATATTTTGCTTTAGCCACACTGGAAAAAATACATGTCCATTCTGAGAAAGATGCGAATACCAGCTAGCTTTTGTTGAGTTTGTAGATGATTAAAACTAATTTCCTTAAACAGCAGCAACCTATTTATTTGTTGATATCGTTTTATGTAATTTCCCAATATTTGTTCTTGACAGGCCAACTACAAGTGCTGTTGCAGAACGCCTTTGGAGTTCGAAAAACATAACTAACTTAGAAACTGCTGGTCCGCGCATCGAAGAACAAAGATGTCGTTTAATAAAGTAGCATTTGATTCTATAATTCTTAATCTGTTCATTATTATTCTCAATATATTTGTATTCACATGTTACACATTACACCTAATAAAATCACTGTTTAAACAACTAAGTAAATAAACAGACACTGAAAATGTAATTTTTGTGAATGCAAGATGTGATAGTTACTGTTTGACAGTATATTAAGCAACGTATCGGACGAATCCACTCGACTCTCACATAGAAAAGTAAATTGTTCTGTGCAGTAATAAATATCGAGAAATTATTCTTATATTTCAGCGAAAACTTGACTACAGGTAAACGAAGTTGATCTGTTCAACCATGTATTTAACCAGTGATTCAGAAATACTAAAAGTCAAATACCTAAGCGAAAATCATCACATTTCTTGATTAAGAAAGTTAGAAGGCAATAAATTCTTGTAAATAATTTCTGATCTGTTAAAATTTATTTCTTTTGAACATCAATATCTCTCCTTACATGATTTTCTGCAAGCAGTTAGTCTTTCAGATATAGCTCCCTAATGAATTCGTAATTATCACCCCTATCTGGAGTTTATTTACCATTGAAATTTTCTGCTTCATCAGGGTTACTATGTATCTGCTAATGGAGCGTACTATTTTACTCGACTATTTATTACGTAGCCAGAAATCACAAAATATGTTTATTTATTTCTTTAATAGTACTCTAGCAATATTTTACAATTACGTTTTTTTGGTAGCAGAGTTGCATTAAGTCATTCGTACACTCTTACACCTGTCACCCCAATGGAGCATAGGCCGCCCACCAGTGTTCTCCAATATACTCTGTCCTGGGCTTCCCTTCCCAGTTCTGTCCAATTTTTGTTCATTCTTCTCATATCTTTCTCTGTTTCACGGCGTAATGTGTTCCTTGGCCTTCCTCTTTTCCTTTGACCTTGAGGGTTCCATGTGACGGCTTGTCTTGTGACGCAGTTAGGTGCTTTTCACAGTGTGTGTCCTATCCACTTCCATCGCTTCTTCCTGATTTCCTCCTCCACTGGAATCTGGTTTGTTCTCTCCCACTGTAAGATGTTGCTGATAGTGTCTGGCCAACGAATCCGAAGTATTTTGCGTAGACAACTTTTCATAAATACTTGAATCTTCTGGATGATGGCTTTCGTAGTTCTCCAGGTTTCCGCTCCACATTTGTATTGAAAATCCTGATTTTGGTGTTGATTGATATTTGTTTGGAGTTCTAGATATTTTTCAATAATAAAAATGCAGCCCTTGCTTTGCCGATGCGCGCCCTCACATCTGCATCGGATCCACCTTGGTTGTCGATGATGCTGCCCAGAAATGTAAAGGTGTTAACCTCTTCCAAGGAATCTCCATCAAGCATAATTTGGCTGACGCATTTTGTGTTGTAGCGTAGAATTTTGCTTTTTCCTTTATGTATGTTGAGACCTACTGCTGCAGAGGCTGCTGCTACACTGGTCGTCTTCTCTTGCACTTGTTGTTGCGTGTGAGATAGAAGAGGCAGGTCATCTGTGAAGTCCAGATCGTCCAGCTGCGTCCTAGCTGTCCATTGGATACTGTGCTTCCCTCCAGACGTTGACGTCTTCATAATCCAGTCGATCACCAGGAGAAAGAGAAAGGGTGAAAGTGAGCAACCTTGCCTTACACCGGTCTTCACCTCGAACGAGTATGTTAGCTGTCCTCCGTGCACGATTTTGCAGTTGAATCCGTCATAAGAATTCTGTATGATGTTAACTATTTTCTCAGGCACACCGTATTGTCGAAGAAGCCTCCACAGTGTTTTTCTGTCCACGCTGTCGAATGCTTTCTCGTAGTCAATGAAGTTGATGTAGAGTGGTGAGTTCCATTCAATTGATTGTTCCACAATGATCCGTAATGTAGCATTTCGGTTAGTACGCGATCGATCCTTATGCGATCCAGCCTGTTGAACTCGAAGTTGGGAGTCTACGAAGTCCTTCATTCTGTTTAACAATGCCCCGTTGAAGACTTTGCCTGTTATTGAAAGAAGAGTGATGCTTGTGCAGTTCTCACACTTGCTGAGATCGCCTTTCTTTGGTACTTTGATCAGTGTCCTTCTTTCCAGTCTGATGGTACCTGTCATCCCAAATCTTCTTGAAGAGAATGTGAAATATATTCGCAGTTGCTTCCACATCTGCTTTGATTGCCTCTGCTGGAATGTTGTCTGGTCCTGTTGCTTTGTCTCTCTTGACTTTTTGATGGTCATGTTAATTAGTATTTTAATCTAACCACTGTCTAGGTTACACATTTTTTCATAGATTATCATTTTAAATAGTTAAACTGTTAATAATTTCAACTAGACTGTAATGAACAATGACAACAATCAGAGTTTGCAATAACTTGACTCAAAATGTGATAATTGTTAAGCGTAAAATGAAACCGTGTAAATAATTAGCAATTAAACCTAAAAAATTTTTTTAAAAATGAATCAGATTATGACATAGAGATTAATCAGTATTGTTTGTTTGCTAATGATAATAGTAACAGTTCGGGTCATAAACATTCTCACTCTTCTATTCTCCTTTCAAGTCGTGGTATACCGGCTGGTGTTCTTCTCGGTCCAGGATATTGTGATGGTGGTAAACTGATGCCAACATGGAATATCAATGAAATTATGTTAGATGAGTACAAAAATATCATGAACCGAAAAAAATCAAACAATAATTCTGTAATTGATGAATATAAGAATGATTATTATTATTACAATGAAAGACCTTCTAGTCTATGGAATAGTACAGATATGGTAATCGGTTTTTTCATAGGTATCTTAATTACTTTATTATTTCGTCACCGTAATTTGTTGCCGTTTCGGAAAGTTAACTGTAATTTCTTAGTTAGATGTACAACGTGTCTATTGATTTTGACTTTCATAACAGTTTTAATTATCTTTAGTCATACTCGTTCTATATTTGTATAATTTTCATAAAATCCCATTATATTTCAGTCTAATTGCTAAATTTTAATTAGTATACGTTCTTCTGTATTTCTTGAAGAGTTTGCTGTTTATCTATGCACTCTTAATTTTTTGATCTTATTTTGTATAGATTATGCTGTTTTATTGGTTGCACTTTGAATTCATGATTCTGATAATTTTTCGTACTCTCCGTTTTTCTGTATGAAATACCTTTTTACTTGTGCTAAAAATTCTCCTCCAGACGCATATTTACTTATCTAAATAATGTTATCTTTAAATTGAGTCATGTGATGTATTTGTTTTTATAACTTAGCAATTATATATGTGTGCATACACTTCATTTATTCTATCCACTATGTTGTGTGCCACATTATCTTATTACTTTCCATTAACCATTTTATTATCATCACAAACATGAAAAACTGTTGCATTGGCTGCAACAATCACGAAACAAACATAAATCTAGTTATCACTGTCTTTCCTATATATGAATCTCTGTTTATGAAAATGAAGCAGAAATCTCAATCCTCAGTTCAGTCAGTAATTAATTATCTTCATTTTATTTTATCCCAGTTTACGGAGTTTTAATTGTGTTATCATCATATTGTTTTTAGTTATGCTGTCTTTTGTTTATTTTATGTACGTTTTAGTGTCATTTGTGGTTGTGTTGCTGCTTAAACGGAAAATAAAACACTTTCTTGTTTAATTCACCTACACATAGTACTCTCTTCTATTCACAATTAATGCATACATATTTATTTTTGACTTTTTTTGATTTGCATGTGTTATTTGGTGTTTTATCTCTTCATTTTCCTAAACCTTATTGCTATTAAGTTTCCAGTGGATGTTTGTTTATTTGCAAGAGACTTTCAGTCTGGTTTTGAAACCAAAATAAGATGCGTTTACATGATATGTGTATTGAGGTAAAACGCAAATTTGTCGAATTGAAAAATTTTAACATTGCGATCAAATAAAAATAAATCTTTTTATGACTAAGAGATGTTTTTGAAGAGAAACTCATTGTGACTAAGTTAACTTGCAAAGAATAGAGACAAGGTATCATGCTCATTCTGCATTCGAAGTCGAAAGATAAATATCTGTCACTTTCAAAATCACTAAGTATTTAGAAATGAGCCAGTCATCTTGAGCTCTTACACCGAGTCTTTTGGTCAGGTCTGTATTGTATGATTTTGTTAGGATATTCATCAAATATACTGAGAGAATTATTTTTGAGTCTAATTCTATTGATCAATTCCTACTGGTCAATAAAATGGTCGTCCTAACTGTCAATATCACATACTTCAATGTTGTTTCCTATTCTACCTAACTGTATAAATATGCATTATCAGTAAAGCTTATTATTCCATTCCTTCATTCCTTCTGTACTCGACCCCATAAACAACTTCTGACGGTGTTGTGTTCGGATATATTGGAGATTTGGAGTCGTATTCGAATATCTGAATATTTGGTCGATCGGTAGGATTTCGAATAGCTACGTAGTAGCATTATGACAGATTTACAAAATCACAAATAACAAATATTTAAGTAGCGAATCATCTAGCAGATTTCTTCAATTATAAAACTATCAACAAACAATAAACAAACTTATGAGCTTATTTACAATCAACAAATAGATAATCCTGGAAAACATGGTTTCTGTAATTATTCGTATTGTCACGAATTTTCGAGATCACGAAATGATGTAGTTCGAATAACTATTGAAAGCTTGATAACACTGAACAGTTGTTCTCTCCTAGTACGAACTCTTCAGCAATCGCATCCATGACCTAACTATCTGATGCCTAACTCGAGATCTTTACTCACCTAACGACGCTCAAACTCCAAACCACTGAACTGGAATTCACTGATGCATATGTTTAACTTCTGTCAATCCCCTGTATTACATGACCATCATCCTTTTTGTTCAATTGGTAATTTCCTTTTATTCGATACAGTTGAACTCCGTCCAATAGAGCTTCAGAAATCACATATTGAAGCTAGTCACCACTGAGAGCATGCTGATTAGGAATGTTAAGGTTGAGTTTTTTTTGAGATCACAATCCGAACTCACACTTCTAATCGAATCTATATGAATTAATTTACAAATTAATCTTATCAAACCCGGAATATTTTGCCATATTTGCCTTGAAAAGTAATTAATACTCTCCTTTCTACACTGTATGGATAGTTAACTATCCGGACATTGCTTTTATGCATACACCGTATCCAGTAGTAAAAGTATGGGGACGTTTAACGTTTGAATACTGTTGAAATTTAGCTTGCCTATTGGATATTTTATTTTCACGTTATACATTCTTGGAAATCCACTAAGCAAAGGACATCTGTTCAACTTGAAATGAAACTGTCGGGTAATCACATCAATTTCCTCTCTAAGGTTTGAACCGAGTACGATTAAAGCATAACTCTTAATCACTGAGATGTTATGCGACACTTCACATTTCTAACTTCAGTCAATTTCCGACAAGATCATTACCGACTGCCTTTGGCGATGAGAATTCGCCTCACGTAATATTGTAGTTTTTGTCCTCTGTTTTCTGTATGAATAAAGCGATATATTAAATTAAGTAGCACAAATTTCTGCGTTTTACTAAATAAACTGATTGCTCCTCACAAATAGTGATAGTTGATAATTTGTAGTGGTGTATGGCACGAGATTAAGTACTTCGGAAGTTTTGATCAAATTCTAACCCACGATACACTAAGAGACAAGACAAGGGCGTTACGAGGCAGTCGTACTCGATCAAAAACTACAAAAATAGAACTAAACCATGTGTTACCACACAAGACAGCTTTCGTCTAAATAAGGGTATGTTGAGTTGTATGGAAGCAACTCGATTTTAAACTCCGAATCCATCATTTCCATATTAAAGATTGAAATTTTAACTAGATGATTTCCTACCTACGGACAAAAAATTAGATAGTGCTCACTCGTTACTGACTCAAATAAGGGTACAATTGATGCATATTTTACGTATAAGCAGAATCTTCCACCCAAGAATCATATAGTGTGGTAGCTTAGAAGGTTACAAAATATATTAGCAAATTAAATGAAGAGTTACTGACAACAATACACATTTACCTCTATTAGTATTGGGGTTCAATACGCGGTCAAGTGTCAGAAACTTAGCAGGATCCATAAAGAACTACGAGGTAGAACTTAATCGAGATAACGAGAAAATACCTTGACCCCTTCTTGAAAAGATTTACTTTTGAGAGTGTCTGAGAGTTTGATTGAAAAGTACTAACCAATTAGATTAGGTAAAGAAAAATATATAAAAATACTGCATCTTTAATGGGGCCAAAAACTTCGTCTACTTTGCCCACTTCCTCTTTGTTTGCCAAATAAACAGAAGCGTTTGAGTAAGGTATTTTTTCCGATGTGATTTTACAGACAATATCTTCTTGACATGGGTGAGCGAAAACCCCAACTTCAACAACTTCTTCAGGAGGGCCACTTTGGAATTTATCAGAGAAACCGCCCCTTGAGCCCCTTCGAAAACCACCTTGCGAGCCACGTGAACCACCTCTACCTCTAAAATTTTGGAAGCCCATCGCTCACGCCAAAATTAACCGAAAACCCGCGAATACCCTAAGAAGGACAGGGTCGTTAAACGGCCTTCATTATGTAAAACAAAATATCCCTGGCTTAAGTAATTAATGTGACAAACAGTAAATCGATTAAAAGTTAATTGTTATCAAACATAAAAAGCTGACATAGTTATTACAACTGGCGGGCTATACAGACCTAACATGAATATACGGGTCTTAGTGTTCGTTCAGACTGTAGTTCGCTTCGTTCATCTCCAAATTACTTGTAAGTTACTAATGATTGCTATTCAAGCTTAAGTGTTTAGCTTTTACTTGTCTTCTTATCTACTAGCGGTTTCTCACATTCCCGGATAGTATGCTTCACCACTACAACCTTTATCATCCATCTGGTCTTCTAAGATAAAATTTGCGAGTACTGTTCCTTATAAATACTCCTAGTTATGATAGATAATGTAGTTGCCATGTTTAACTCCTTGTTTTAGATGTTCTTTCTCGTGACTGCCGCGTCCTACCCAACCAGGATTTATTGTTACACCATCCGGTTACCAACTTCCTTCAAGTTGATAATCTTGAAGGCAGTATGGTTCTATTGTCCCACAATATGACTCCCTATCCACGCAACTTCTCTTGTGAACTAGTTGTGCATACACCCGTTGAAAATGCCAGAATTATGATGAAAATTGAAGAGTTTTATATACCATCTAAGACTCCGAATTGTGTCGAAAATTATTTATATGTATTCGATTCTAACACAGCAAAGTCCAAGGCCATGGTAAGTCTGATATAACACTTCCTGTTACTGTGAAAATTTGCAAATGACTAGTGTAGGATGTTTTATCTTGTACCGTGTTTAGATTTGTATTGATTGTATCATCGACCGCCTAATGTTCTGCATATGTATTGCATAAGTATTTGATTGTTTTGTTGCATATAGACAGAAGCTGGTGGAGAACGTGGTTTATGTGGACCGGACTATCCAAAGAACCTTATATTTACGTCGAGGTCCTATATATGTATAGCTTTCCAGTAAGTATATATATATATATATATATATATATATATATATATATATATATATATAAAATATATATATAATTAACGGTTTTAATACTATCAGTTTTGTGAGATACTGCTCTTAGTTTTCATAGAGAACTTCAATACAATAAGCAAATAATGCATCAACTCAGTTACTTGACCAGCTCTCTAAGTTTTATTTGTTAAGCTAAAGCCTATGCTATTTCTCTCCGGCTTAGTTGCAGTAAACTAAGCTAAACTAAACTAAACTGTAAATTTATATTTCAACAGTGGCCGTCCCAATTGGTTCCAATAGAGGCACTCCTGTACGCTTTTCCTAGTCCCGGGTCCCAACCAATTCAAAAAAGGACAAAATTCTAGGAGAAAACGTCTGGAAATTGTGTTTCTTCCAGGACTAAATTACTCCGCAGAGTATCCGACACAATAACCAATAAGTGACGCTAAGTCCAGCAGCCACTGCGTCCGTCCGAAAATGTGGCGGTAGCCATATTATATCAAATTTAAACAACATATGTACAGTTCAGAAGCAAACACAAAAACTTCAATATAAGTACAAAATATAGAAAGAATAACAATATACAATGATAAAATCTCAAATTGGAATCAAATAAAGTACCAAAAATGTCAAAAGAAAAAGTCCGTCATATCATAGCAAAAATATGTAAACATGGAGGGATTTTCCAAAACACAAAACATTCAAAAAGAATTCTACACCGGCCCGCAAAATCCCTCCATGCAAAAAGAGCAAGCGTTAATGACACTTTATTTAGGGTTCCCCGTTATCCCCTAATCCACACCGGAATAACGTGTAGGACTTACAGCAGTACGCCTACACGCCATCCAACATGGATATGACCTATCGTGTTAACTAGGTACCTATACTTTCCTATCAGGCCCTTGATTCCCCTATCTATCGTGGAATGACCTAACGGTAGTATAAACCTTACCCAATTAACCCACACGAACATGAACAACACGTCGCAAAACTGGTCATATCCTATCCAAGGACTACATTCTCTTTCATGGGGAGGAGTCGCCAATCCACCACCACTTGCTCCGATCAGCAGATACCATGAAGTCCGTGATGCTAACTTATCAACAGAAGTTTTTGACCCATAAATAATATGCAAGGGTGGGATTTCCAATTTTGACATTTCATCGTCTCCAGAAGACTTTAAGTAGCATGACGTGGGATCAATATTTATCTTTCCATCTCCCGATACAGAGGAGGTTTGATCAGTGTTCGTCATCGTCGGTAACTCATTTGTCACATCAGTGACATCCAGTTTATTATCAACGTCTAAATGATTCCGATCTGTCAGACAAGTCGCGTCGATTCGGTGTGCATTAGCATCCGTTTCAGAGACACAAGACTTATGCTCATCAATAGCATCGTCATCACCAAGCACTGTAGACTGGCTGTTAACATCAAACACTTTCTTCTCATCATCACTCGACTGACAGTCAACCGTAATAGGAACAGTTACAGCTGCACAACCTTGTGCATCTTCAATCAACTTAACCTTCGTGACGAGGTCCGATGGCGTCGAAACACTAGGAGGCTCATTCGATGAAGTTGATAAACTAGTCCCTATCAGTGGACTGCTGACACTTAGTAAACTAATGCTGTCGTTCTGAAACGAGTACTAAGTAGGGATGGCAGATCAATAGATTAATTGTTGAGACTTCATCAGTTGAGGTGGTTAGGACATGTGCTGCATATGCCTAACCACTGACTGCCTCGTCGAGCTATGTTTTACCATGCAGGAATAGGTTGGAAGAAAACTAGGGGCGGCCAAACCAAAACATGGCACAAGTCCATGAAGTCACTGACAAGTGGGTGAAGTCATATTGATGTATGTCGACTACCCGGTTAGGGTCTGGGAGACGAAAGTCACCGATGGTTAGATACCTTGAACGACATGGCTCAAAATCGTTTGCAATGGCGCAGGTTTATTCATTCATTGTGACCTCTAAAATTCTGATCTTCAGAATTCCTCATGATCTACATCTTTCTCTTTCTAAAGTTATCTTACTCAACTACACCTCTTGAATCATAACTTCGATCCTTAATATTCTCCATTACCTGTAATTTTCCTACTATCTTTGCCACTATGGGATTCGAACCGACAGTGGTGTCTCTGTGCTAATGCGGTATGGCTACCTGAACTGACGTACGCACGTACGAAGTTCTACGTTGTAATTGACTGGCTGACATATAACAGCTTAAGAGTGTACTGCAAAATCGTAACTTCTATTTTATTTCTCGATTTCCTTCCATGTAGACTTTAGACAGATGATCCATTGTTTGAAACTAGACTGTCATAGTAATTCCATTACAATACAGTAAATATCATATTAAATGTACTGTCTTGTCAAATCCCGATTGTAGTTGCTGCCTTGACGTGGTGTTCGGGTTTGCCTAATGTCATGACCAAACAGGGCTATATTGGCTAGAAGACATGTTCCTTTAGTTCCTACCATACTAGGCAGGTAGATCAGATAACGGTAGAACTGAAAACAGCAACGGAAGTTCTAAGGGCAAAGTCGTACTACTGACTGTAGAGGGGTGCGAGAGCAGTCAAGGGTTTCCCTCAGACACCCAGCGAACATCAGTGATGCTGCCTTCTCATAACGGAAGATTTGGGTTAGGAAAGTTTGACCCTAAGAATGTAACACCACACTTTACCCCGCGAATCTCCGTCTCCGGTGGAGAAGACTACAAGAACAGCGGTAACTCATTAAAAACTTCCCATAAGAAAGCCGTGTGTGATCGGCCTCAACTAGTTGTCCATCGGGCTCTCCTTTCACGTTGTCAGGTCGCAAAGATCAACGCTAATGCAATTCCCTTTACAGGTTTCTCAAGAAACATTCACGGCGTCAGCAGTTGGGAAGTCACATTCGCCCTCATACTTGTAACAACACATGAGATTACAATCGAATTTTTCCTATACCTCTTAATGCCTCTCTCATCTCCACGACTAACCCTTCTCGCACTCCTTTATCACCTCGCGCCGCTGATGTAGACGATTCGAGTACCCGAAAAATTACTCTCCGTCTCCTGGCACCACACTTTAACTTACATGTTGGAGCGTTGAATGTTCGGAACTTGTTCCAAACAGGACAACGGGTTACCTTAGCAAGGACTCTAGGATCTCGTGTCACTGATGTATGCTGCATCTCCGAAACGCGCATAAAAGATCCGAGTACAGTGGCTAATTCGACTTCACCTTGTCAAGATAAAGACTCATCTCAATCCACACTCCTTGTATCTGACAGCCCTACTTCTATTTCCCGTAGCCTCTCTAGTGTAGTTATAGCATTAGGTCTTAGGGCACAACTATCTCTCTTGGCCTGGATCCCAGTAGACATTCGTTTGTGCGCTGTCCGACTAAACAGGACAGTAAAGACTCGGAATGATAAGGACACTAGCTGTTGCCTCTTCGTTGTCTCTGTCTACGCTCCCGCTGACTGCAGCTCGGATGAGGTAAAAGATAAGTTTGACAGGAAGCTTTCCAACCTCTTCCAAAAAGTGAAACGCTTTGATGTCGTAATAGTTGCTGGAGACTAATGCTCAAGTAGGTAGACTAAGTGATACTGAAAGACACCTGAGTGGGTCTTATGGTGTGGCGACTCACAGAACAGATAATGGCGACCTTCTGCTGCAGCTATGCAAATACTATTTTTGAGCATAAGGAAAAACATCTTTTTACTTGGTGACACCCAAAGTCAACTCAACGCTGGACCCAGCTAGATCACACCGCTATCAGCCACCGATGGAGAGGCTCTATAGAAGACAGCCACTCATTCTGGGGCACATGTTTACATTCAAACCATGCTCTAGTATTAGCGCGTATTGAACGTAAGAAAGACTTAGCGATGAAACCCCTTGCAGTTCTACTTAACGATAGCAAAGCTAAAAATATATTTCAGAAGCGACTATAAAAACAGTCAGGCAGCCATGTTAGTGGTTCCAAACTCGAGGCATCACGGAATGATATCCGAAATGCTGTATAAACAACAGTGATATCTGTTAATAAAGTGAACCATGAAGTTAGAGAGAAACATTGGATTTCAGTAGCATCTACTGAACCGATAGATACTCGGAAATCCATTCTGGCTGTGAACACGATGAGGAGCGGAGTTGGCTTAAGTGCAGGCTGATAAGAAACCTACGTAATGATCGCGAACAGTGGTGGATTACGAATGCATGAGAAATGGAAAAGGAAACTGGTATTAGAAATCTAACTGTTTGTGAGACTATCTCAGAAAGAGATGTTCTTATTCTTCATTCTCAATCGAGGAGATTGCATCGATGGTCAGAACACTTTAAAGAGCAGTTGAACTGGCTTTCAGCCACACTTCAACTACACATCATCTCCAGTCAACCTGTATGGCAAGTGAATGTAAGTCCTGCGAATCTTAATGAAGTTGTTGTAAAAGCTATGGGAAATGTGAAGCGATGGAGAGCAGCGGGTCCTGATTGGCTGACTCCTGAGATTTTTAAGGATGGTGTTCCAGTTTGGCAGTTACATTGACTGAAATCCTAGATCGAATTCAGGGACTGGGCGTAATCCTATCTGACTGGTCTCAATCACTGATTGTCCCAGCCTATAAGAAAGGAAAAATTCCTGTTGTGACAATCACAGAGGAGTCAGTTTGACTAGCATAGTGTCTAAAATATTGGCTTCAATAATAATACGACGCCTAACAAGTGTTTTTGAAGAGCAGACTCGAGAAAACCGGTCTGGATTCAGACCTGGACGTGGATGTATAGACCAGATATTCACACTTTGTTAGGTGCTAGAAGATAGACACACGCTCAGATGTTCTACAATAGTAGAATTTCTCGACCCTAAGATGGCGTTTGACTCTGTTGACCGTGGGGTTCTATGGCAGGGTCTGTCATTGAACGGTGTACCAGCGAAGTACAATAATGTTATACAAGCTCTCTACCCGAACACCACTGGTCGAGTAAGAGCTTATGGTGAACTG